GCGGATAAAGATTAAACTCCCTCGGAGGCCTCTAAGAAGGTAGTCCTTATATCGTCTTTAGGAGAAAAGTATTTGTCTACTATATTCGCCCTAAAGGCGGCCGGTTTATCTACTCTTCCTACGAGAAACAGTTAACGACTACGGGACGTTAAATATACTATTACTACCTCTAAAACGATAAGGTAGTAGCCCGATATACTAAGGATTCGGCGAAAGATAAGGCTAGTAACGGAAAGAAGGGCAATAAGGCTAATACGGCTAAATTCTAATACGGCTAATTAAGCTAAAGGAAAGACGTATTACTATTACTAAAAGGTCGAATAGGACTATAGGAAGTATAAAGGGGACCTAAAGAGTAGAAACATCTAAGAAAAGAATAAGGAGGAATCTAAGATCGCGGCTTAGACGGCTATCGATTCTACGACTTAACTATCTAATAAAGGGGATTAGATCCTAGACTCCGGATATACTAGATATATATCTAGCGATAAGGCCTACCCTATAGATTATAAGGAAGAAGCCGGAGACTTTACTCTAGCGAACGGTAAAACGATAAAGATCGGAGGATCCGGAATAATCCTCGTTCGATTTATAGAATTCCGACTATAACTTAAGACGTAATATACCTCTCCGAGATTAGATATAACCTTCTCTTAATAAGCTAACTCTCGGAACGAGGTATTACGACTCTATTTACTAAAGAAGAGGCTATACTTCGAAGAGGAAACGAAGAACTAGCTAAAGTAGTACGCGTCGGAAGGTCCTATATTAAAAAGAAATCTAGATCTAATAAGACCGACGAGAGTAGCTACTACTACGACTAAAGGTACTACTCTACTTTAGTATTAACGCCTAGGATATCCGGGAAACGAAAAACAACTTAAGGTATATAAAGTACTAATAGGAGTCCCGGAGCTTACGACGCTAGATAAGTTTTACGGGACTTATATTACGATTAGGTCTAATAGACGATAGACTCGAGATAAGCCCGAGAAGGTATAAGGTTACGTAGATAGGATATATATCGACTTTTAGGGTCCGTATAAGTACGATACCTTAGGAGGAAATAGGTATATACTAACGATTATAGACGACGCGATAAGACGGTTAGATATCCGTCTTACTCGCTATAGAAGCAATGTATAGGAAGCCTATAAGGTTTAGAAATACGAGGCCGGACTTAAATCTAGGAGGACACTAAAGGACGTAAGAATTAACAACGCTCCGGAGCTTCTTAAAGCTCTTAAATCCTACCCGGGACTATAAATCGAAACAACGACGCTCTATACTCTAGAATAAAACGGGGTAGTAGAAAGACAAATCCGTTCTATTATATCTAAGGTATAGGCGGCTTTAGAAGGATCCGGATTACCTAAACGATCTTTAGGCGAAGCGGCCTATATAGTTACCTATTTATTTAATAGGCTACCTATTAAAGGAAGAGATATAACTCCTAAGGAGCTCTATACTAGAAGAAAGCCTAGCGGAGAACACTTACGGTATTCGGCTATCTAGCCTATCCGTTTATTCCTAAAAAGAAAAGGAAAGATAAGCTAGAAAAGACGGCATTTCCGGAAATCTTCGTCGGATATACGAAGTCTACGAAGTAGTATAGAATCTATAATCCTAAGACAAACGCTATCGGGATCTATACTATCGTTAAATTTAACGAATCGACTAAGAGAAGTAGTCTACTATCCGGAGAAGAGCTACCTACTTATAAGAACCTAAGTAAGTAAAGTCTCCTATCCTACCTTAGCAAATCCTATATAATAGTTATATAATCTTATTACGTACAGTACTAATCCGTTAGCGTAAAGCCTGCTTAGCGTATACGCCGAGATACCTAGTCGCTCGTACGGATATACTTAGTAGCCGGCTCGGCGGATATACTAGCCGTATAGGGCTATCGAGCTTAGTTAATAGAAAACACTCTACCCTATTCTTAGAAAGGTACGGTTTAGTTCTACTAGCTACTACTGCGATTAGTAGAGGGTATTCTATACGTTACTATAGACCTATTTTCTTATACTACTCTACGGCCTATTATAGATAGCGACGGCAACGATATCGATCTCCTAAATAAAGGAGAATCTAAGAAAATAGAGGGAGATTCCGAAGCCGAAAATAATACTCCGGAACCGTAAGACAAAGAAGACAGTTTAAATAATAACGATAGTTTAAATAACGACGACGAAAGAATAACTCGAGAACCGTCTACTACTCCTACGGCTTCGAATATAAACTAAGGAGGACTAGGAAAGTCTAGGAGGGTCTCTAGGGTACCGAAGAGAGTAAGGTACGAGATAGAGCTAGCGGCTCTAAAAGTCGACTATTAAAAGGCTTTCGATATACCTATTCCCGAGACCTATTTAGAAGCTATTAACGGCCCTTACTCCCGATAATAGAAAGACGCTACTAAACAATATATCGAGTTCCTAACGGGTAATAATACCTACGAGATTACCGACTATTCTAAGCTAAAGGACGGAAAAGGGCAAATAAACGTTATTATTCTAAAATAGGGGGTTAAAAGTAAAAATACTACTAAACGGACAAATCGATAAGTTTAAGGCGAGATTTATAGGAAAGGGCTTTATATAACGCTACGGGATCGATTACTTTAAAAGATTGTCTCCGGTAATACCTCTCGAAAGCCTACGTATTCTCCTAGCTATCGCCGCTAGTAAAGGACTTGCTATATTCTAAATATATATAGTAAGTGCCTATCTACTTAGAGAACTGACGGAGGAAGTCTAACTAGCTATCCCGGAAGGCATAGACGTTCCCGGAACTAATAAGGAACTTAAATACCTAAAGGGAGTATAAGGACTAAAATAATCCGGACGAGTTTAGAATAAGATAATTACGGCTTTCTTCGAAGAATACAACCTCTATACTATATCCGCGGATTAATCGGTCTACGTTAGTTGCGACTATACGCTAATAGTTACGTTATACGTCGACGATCCTATTATACTAGTAAAGACAGAAGCAGAGATTAAACAGCTAGAGGACGGGCTTATAAAGAGGTTTGAAATAGGGGATCTAGGTCCCGCTAAGCTTATACTAGGCGTACGAATCGAGAGAGAAGCCGACGGGTCTATACTACTAGATTAAAGGGACTATATCGAAAATACGCTTAGGAAAGAGAGCTTATATCTAGACGAAACCTTCCGAGTATCGACTCCGGCGAGCGGATACGCGAATCTACTACCTATTATAAAGAATAAGGAGGTAGTAGACGTCCGGAAATACTAACGACTTATCGGGAAACTAAATTAGACCGTACGAGCTACTAGGCTAGATATATCTTTTCTAACGTAACGACTAAGCTAATCCTTAGTAAATCCGGCTAGGAGATACTATAACGGATATATCTACGGCCTTAGATACCTAGGTGAAACTCGGGACTACTATATAAAGTATAGTCCTATCCCTAAGAACAAAAACGATATAAGTAATTTAGATACTCGTCTACCGGTTATCTATACTAATTCGGACTACGCGGCGGACTCGACTAGGAAGTTAACGATAGGATATATATCCCTATTAGCCGGAGGGCCTATATCTTAGTCTACTAAACTATAAAGGTCCGTAACGACTAGTACTATAGAAGCCGAATACTTAGTACTATCCTACGCTATAAAAGAAGCTATTTAGATCCGGAGTCTCCTCGACTACGATAATACCTTATAGAAGATAACTATAAAGAACCTACGACTACCTATAGGGATAATAAGGCAGCTATCGCTTTAGTATAAAATCCGGAATTTTATTCTAGAACGAAATATATCGACGTAGCGGTATATTACGTACGGCAACTAGTCGAGGACAAGCTAGTCGATATAAAGTATATTCCGACTAAAGGCTAACTAGCAGACTTCCTTACTAAATCCCTAACGAAAGGGAAGTTCGAAGAAAACGTAAAAAGAGTCCTAGGGATAAAAACGATTAAGAAGGATTAGGACTTAGCTATTTAGTTTACGACTAGATAGCTAAGTAGAGAAAGTATTAGAATACTCGAGTATATACGAGGCTAGTTAGATTTATAAGTAATAGAAAGAGAAGGAATCTTCGGGCTTATTTACTTATAGCCTAAGTAATAGCTTATAAGTCTTAGCGTTAGCGTATATAAGTAGCTAGTAAGTCTTTTACCTAAATAGCAAGCAATTCTATCGGTTCGCCGCTTATATATAATATAAATAACAAGTGTCTTTATAATTTAAGAACTAGTAGTACTATACTATACCGTAGGATTTATCTTATTTAGAACGAGTAAGAATACGCTACGAACGAACGAGACTAATCCTCCCTCCTACTAGTAAAAAGATATACTAGAAGGACCTATAGAACCGAATCTATAAAAGTAATAAAAGCTCTAAAAGTTACGAAAGCTATAAAACTTATAAAAAAATCGATAAAACTTATAAGACCTACTAGAACTATTTAACTAAGCCCTATCGAACACGGTATAAAAGGGAGCGCTATTGTCTCTAACTAGCGATCCTTCGTAATGTTCTTAACCTGTTTCTTCGGCTAGTTTTCGCGCTTTCTAAATTCTAGGTTTCGCATTGCTGCCCGACACCTAGTGCTGCTTGACACTATATGCTGCCCGACACCTGGTGTCGAGCCGACTACCGAGTATCTGGTTTGGCAGCTCAGTACTAGGTCGTGAATAGTTCTGAATCTGCGCCACCTACCAAAGTTCTTATACCTAGTCAGATCGAGTGAATCAGTACTATCGCGGCGCTCCTGAACTCAGGTTCTCAATCGGTTCGGTCGTGTTAGGTCTATAGTCTCTTCGTGAGGCTACCTGTGTTCTAGCTTGAGCGTCAAGCGCCATCTACTTTCACTTCTCACTGTTTGAGAGGGAGGAGGGAGGAGGGAGGAGGGAGGAGCGGTTGCGAGTATATGCGATGTGTGCCCGTTCTAAAGGCCTTTCAAGAGCAAGCATCGCAGTAAACACACTGCCGATGTCTTTCCTAAGCGTTCCCTCTTTAGATCGCTGATCTTCCTTCCGCATTCGAGTCCCTTTCACTGCTACTCTCGGTAGTTTTTTGATCTTCTTGCGTGTGTTTTTGAGGTTCACTGCTGTTTCCTATTGGTCGTTTTCGGTCAGCCGTCGCCGCGGTGGTATCGTGATCGTATCCAAACGACCCGGAATCAACAGCCGTTGGAGTATGTTGAGACGGGACTTGAGAGCAGTTTGCGCCTTTGCCAATCCCTGCTCTATACCAAGGAAGGAAAGCGGCACCAAAGAAGGGCAAGTCGCAACATCGATCAAGGTATCCTGGGCGGCGCGCTTGGGCGATGCAAAGATCATCCATTGCGCAGTCGACCCCATTAAGAACGCCTTGCGTCGCCAATATCCAGCTCGGCTGATTTGTCCCGCGGGAACTAGACAAGTTGTAGAGCGTCTTTCATTCCACGAACATAACAATGGCCATGCTCGATGGGGATGGCCATGATGAGAATGCGGGAATGGCCATAATGCGATGATGGGAATGGCAATTATGGGAATGGCCATAATCGACGGAAATGGTTCATAAGTTCCGAGAGTCCTTCGTTCGGGTCGTGGAATGCGAAGACACCCAAGCATCGCTGAGCGACACTCCCAGTCGTAGTCGTGGCCGTAGTTTTGGCTTCGAGCTCTCGCCACGTTCGACATTTCGAAAGCTTTGCAGGAAGTTCGTCGCATCCCAACGTTTAGCTGAAATGCATGCATGCTTCCAAATCACCCGGGCTTTGAGTCTATCCAGGTCGCTGGGAAAGTCGTGCTGCGAAGGGATCATGCACGACCATAAACAAAAGTGCTACACAGACGTTCGACCCTGGGTCTCCCGCATATGAATTCACGTGAAGCTGGCTGTTGATGTCAGCTTCCAAATCATAACTTCAAAAAGCTCGCTTCTGAATGAACACGCTGAGAAGCTGGGCAAGTAAGCTGACAAGAGAAGCTGGAAGCAAATTTGCTCGAGAAGCTGGAAGGAAGCTTGTAAGAGAAGCTAGAAGCGGGCGTGCAGGAATGCCAGAAGCATGCAAGCATGCAAGCCAAATCTGGAAGCAAGCTTGGGAGGGAAGCTGAGTGGAGAGGGTATATGTATAGCCATACGCCGTACACCTTGGAAACCGCTCCGCTTGAAAACAGCTTCATTCTGCGTCAGCACAATCAAGCTTCACAGGCAATTCGCACTCGTTATGAACGAATTCGGTGGCCTATTTCAAGGCCGGCCTGCTGTATCATCTCGAGCACCACCGCTGAGGAAGGTTCCGGCCTTGGAGAAGGAGCGGTCAAACACTGCTGGGTCAAGGGTGGAATGCAGTGCAAGACAACAAGAGGATGCTTTCATGCTGTATTCATCATCCCCAGAGTCGCCGGTCGCGCCTCCTCACCTTTTAAGAACACCAACGACTGCCCCAAGAACACCAATGACTGATCCCAGAACACCACCGACGGCTCCAAGCATACCAACGACTCCTCCAAGAACATCACCCACTGCGCCAAGAACACCACCAACGGCATTTCCCAGTACCGCCGCCAACACCAGGCATCCCAGAACACACACGACGCAGAGAAAAGGCTTCAAGAGCGGAAGTCAGGCGTGCAAAAGCACCAAAAGCCGCTGGCCACGGCTTGCTTGGCTGGAGGCAGTGGGCAACTTCTTCGTATCAACAGGCGTCTGGATGCGCTGTCTCATGTGCTGGATCGGACGACTCAATGACTGGTTGATGCTGCTTTGGCCGTGCCTGGTCGCATGCGCACAGTGGCCGTACCATGTTGGCCGCTGGACATACCACAGCATGGTTCCAATGATGCGCCGCGGTGTGATCCCCATCGCACTTGTCCTCGCGCATTGCCTGTTCATGTGGAGTCCAGAGGTGCGTCATGCTGTGACGATTGTCGGGCGTGTTGCGAGCATTGTTCCAGATCGCGCCACCCAGGACTGCCGAAGCAGTTTCTTCAGACCTTCTTTCATCAGCGACAACAGCACGCCTCCGTTATGGCAGCCGATAGACTGGAATGGTATGGCTCGACAGGATGCGGCGGAGGCGGAGATGGCGCAGCGCTTGAATTTGTCACAGGGTGTGGTTCGAGAGTGGGCCAGCAATACGCGTCTTCTATGGGCAGAAGCTGGCACTGCTGGCGATGATGGAGGAGGCGACTTTGATGGGGATCTCGCGGCGTGCCGCGCGGTGTTAGAGCGAGTCGAGCAGGCGGCGGAGATGCAGGCGGCACTGGGCGATCAGCTCCATCGGGTGTTTCTCGAGTATGCTGCGGCTGTGACGGAGCTTCGAGATCGCGTCAGCATGGTGGTGGACGAGAAGCCATGGTCGTCGTCGAGGTGGTGGTGGTGGCGGTGGGTGAAGTGGGCGGCGGAGACGTGCTTTCCGCAATGGCTGACTCGGCGCTTTCGGCACGCAATCGAACAGGAGCAAATGGCTCGGCTGGCATACTGGCTGCGCGACTGGGGCGTGAATCGAGAGCAACCATTGCTGCAGCTGTATTCTACGCTGTCGCGCACACCACGCCGCATCGAAATATTGGCCGGCCTGTTGCGACAAATGGAATGGGCTGAAACGTGGATGCAACTTCTGGAGGCCGACCAGCCGGCTTGCGGCATGTCGGCTGGCACGGTGGAGGAAATGCGGGCTTGGCTCGAGGCGTGGCCGCGCATGATTCAGATCAACGACGACGGCTCCATTTCCCTCTCCCCTACACACGTCAGCGCCGACCATCCTCTCAGCCACGGCGATCATCTGTTCCGCGGCATTGCAGACGCGACATGTGGAAGCGTGAACGCCGACAAGCTGCACGAGCTCTTGGACGCCTTGAGACGCGTCAACGTATTCTATCGCGACCCGCCCGCAATGCGCCTCGAGCAATACTCTGCTGTAGTGCGAACATTGCTCCACGCCTTCGCAAACAGTGCTCGATGAATCCATAAACTCATCAGCAAGAGAAACTGTAGATTGCCAAAAGACGCATCGGAACATCCAGTCCCATCTGGCATCAATTGAGGTCGCCTTGCAGATCGTCGGCCATGTCAAAGCTCACGTCTTCGACAGGCAGAGCATGGTTACCATGGGAAGAGAGAGCATGGTCGATGTGGGAAGAGCATGGTCGATGTGGGAAGAGTATGGTCGATGTGGGAAGAGCATGGTCGATGTGGGAAGAGCATGGTCGATGTGGAAAGTGCATGGTCAACGTGGGAAGCGGATGGCCAATATGGGAAGAGCGTGGTCAGTATGGGACGAGCATGGCCAATGTGGGACGAGCATGGCCAACGTGGGATGAGCATAGCCAGTCTGGGAAGAGCATAGCTAGTTTGGGGGGAGCATGGTAAGCCTGGGAAGAGTGCCAGCGTTACGATCAGAATCATTTCGGCGCGAAGCCGGGCAACATCAACAATTATTTCGACAATGAGAGCTTCGACAGTGAAGATTGAGGAGGCTCAGCCGGTCAAGCAGGTAAGCAGCCGCCGAATTGAATACTAGAAGATGAAGAAGAATACAATGACTATTGATTGGTACATGGCGTCTCACTACGTTCAATGGTTTTCCACACCCGATCCGTGTCTGCGTCGGATCGTTGGCTTATTCCTCCATGACATTGTTGGTGAGCACTGAATCGAGGGAGTGCCATTGGGTTGCAACGCGGAGCTTCGAACAGCAGCTACAGGGCGGGACGCCTCACGGCCTACGCAGTTCCTGCAGGTTGAAAGACGTAACTTACAACTTTCGAAGGGTAGCCACGAAGCTTCGAGACCACCTCAGACAACTCGATCCTGCAGTGTCTATCCATGCAGCTGCCAGGGCGCGTCATTGTCATCTACGTCCGCTGACCGTGTGTACATGCGAGGATGTCGAGCATGGAATGGTGACATATCCGTAGCGTCGGAAGCTGCATTGTTGGCGGTGAATTCGGCCATCGATTCATTTGTCGCCTACGTAGTTCACATATACCTTTGACGCTCTACGACCACCGACATCTGCTATTCTCGTCAACCAAACGCCACCACTCATTCCCTATAAGCATATCAGCTACTCGGTCGTCGTACAAACATTTCACAACTCAGCTACCTCCTCCCACGATGATCCCCAGAGTTGCCCGTGAGTTTGCGGTCGACAGTTGAACTTTCGTAGAACCCTTGAGATGGCTGCAGATATCTGGCACTTCCAGAATTTCGACACAAATCGTGGGCCACGGTCCGATGTTTCTGTTGATGGTAGGCGATATGTGTATGTTCCATGCGTGCTCAATGAAGACGATATCCGCCGTTTGGCGGGCATTGAACTGTCTGTTTCGGGCGCAAAGTGCCGCATCCTGATCAAGTACAAGCGTGGCATTGAATGCGTACGGAGGGAGGTAGTCCCGTAGCGAAGCCGAAAGTGACGAAAGTCTTGCTGGCAACGGCCGGGTTGAAGAAGGCTATGCCTTGCTTATCGAGATGGCTTCGTGCGGATGGATGCATTGGTTGAAATTAATGACATCCTGGTCGACTCCAGGCATTCCAATAGACTTCAGATATTGTACAGGAGTTCTAAGATCAATTGTACAGGATTTCCGACAGGTTGAACATGAGCTTTTTCGTAATTTTGAAATCTGGAGGCTAAGGCTGGGAATGATCATGAAGGCTAAGCATGATCGTGAAGACTGTAGGTGATGATGCAGGCTGAGTGCGAGATCATTTGTAAAGGCTGAGGAAGATCATTATAATGGCCGGAGATAATCATGAAGGCTGAGGATGATCATTACAGAGGCCGAGGGTGATCAGGAACGCTAAGCAAGATCATGAAGGCTGAGAAGGATCATAAAGGCTAAGCAGGATCATGAAGGCTGAGCAGGATCATGAAGGCTGAGCAGGATCATAAAGGCTGAGCAGGATCATGAAGGCTGGGTACAAGATCACTGACAAAGGCTAAGAATAATCACGAAGGCGGAAGGGTTGAAGTGAAGGATGAGATTCGAGATTCGAGTTTTTACTCTATTGCGGAACGCAGCCAGGACTGAGATGGGGCTCAAGAAATGGCTGAAGAGTTCTACACAGTTAAAGATTAGGAGACACGAAATCGCAGAGGTAGTCCAGTTCCATGGAGGTGTCCAACAGGAATCAACTAGGTGTTGCCTGCTCTAATGTCGAAGCTTCCGAGGTAGTGGCAATCATATTGAAGGTTGAAACCTGATGTCGGGAATCACCTGGTGTTGGGTAACGCCTAGTGCTGCGTAGGAACAGGATGTTGGGCGAGAACAGAACCGAGAATTACTCCGTCTAACGGGCTAGGTTGCTCCTTAATGCCGCAGAAGTAGGTGCGGCTGATAAGCTCCAATGTATGGATGGCTGCGGCCTGATGTCTAACAGAGTGGTAGTGGAGACGGATACGCAACACGCGAGCACGCAGGTCGCTAGTATTGTCCTCTAGCACGAAGAAATCCGTCCTCGATATATAATAATATTATCCGGTATCTCGTACCCGGGTAATAAAACCGCCGACAACTCGCTATAGTTTACGGGTACTATGCCTTTAGCGAGATGTAGCTACATGTCTTATATAAAAAGCCTATTTCCGCTAGATCTTAAGATATCGAGGCGTAGCTTATTAATATATAAATAGTTAAGATAGGGACGAAGGGCGTCGTTAATATAGTATTAGAACGATAACGGGGCGTTAGCGAGCCCGAGTTATATAACTAGGCATTCGTAGTAGCTATACCGCGTCTTTTATCTATCTCCTTTAGCGATACTTAGTTAACTAAAGGCGCTAATAATATCTACTTTAGAGTAGCTAATAACCTTACGCAATCGGGAGAGGGTTTCTTATACGAATAGGATAGGTAGGGTATATACGTTCTTCCTAGTTATTCTATTAAGCCTACGGTATTCTATATAGAACTAGAGTCTACTACTAGCTTTCTATGTAAATAATAGAGGCGATAGGGACGTTAATAATAATATACGGGATAAAGATCCTTTCGAGGTTGTCCTTTAAATCCTTATAAAGTATCTCTAGCCTTTCGTAGGACGAGCTATATAGAGGTATATACTTAGGCGCGTTCTATACTAGGTAGTACCTCGATTTTATTATTATAAGCCTAGTATAGTTATAGGCTCTTATTTACTAGAAGTATTATATAGATCGTACTATTTTAGTCCGCGGATCTATAGCTTAGCTTTCTTAGTAGCTATCGCTTACCTAACGTCTAAAGCGAGCTCGCGAAGACTCTATATATACGTTATTATAATAGCTCGTATACTATAGAGGCCTATTAAGGGGTGCTCTTTCTCTAGCGAGTAGGAGTAACTAGGGTCTTCGAGGACTTAAGCTAAGAGTATAGTTATTAATTATTAATTTACTATAATTATATACCGAATATTACAATTATAACTATCTCTATTATAGATAAGCGGTAAGCCGATAGAATTGCTTGCTATTTAAACAAACGACTTACTAGCTACTCATATACCCTAGCGCTAAGAATTAAAAGCTATTACTAAGCCGTAAGTAAATAATCTTTTAGCTTCCTTCTCCTTCTCTTACTTATAAATCTCACTAGTCTCGTATATTCTCGAGTATTCTAATACTCCCTCTACTTAGCTATCTAGTTATAAACTAGATAGCTACGTTCGAATCCTTTTAATAGTTCTTATTCCTAGACTCTTTTTACGTTTTCTTTAAACTTCCCTTTCGTTAGGGGCTTAGTAAGGAAGTCCGCGAGTTAGTCTTTTATCGGAATATACTTTATATCGACTAGCTTGCCCTCGACTAGTTCCTATACGTAATATACCGCTACGTCGATATATTCCGTTCTAGAATAAAATTCCGGATTTCGTACTAAAGCGATAGCCGCCTTATTGTCCCTAAAGATAGTAGTAGGCTCTTTATAGTCGTCTTCTATAAGGTATCTAACTTGCTCGAGGAAACTCTAGATCTAAATAGCTTCTTTTACGGCGTAGGATAGTACTAAGTATTCGGCTTCTATAGTACTAGTCGTTATAGACATTTATAGTTTAGTAGACTAACATATAGGTCCTCCGGCTAATAGGGATATATATCCTATCGTTAACTTCCTAGTCGAGTCCGCCGCGTAATCCGAATCGGTATAGATAACCGGTAGACGAGTAACTAAAGTACTCGTATTGCTTTCGTTCTTTAGGATAGGACTATACTTTATATAGTAGTCCCGAGTGTTTCCTAGGTATCTAAGGCCGTAGATACCTCCGTCGTAATATCTACTAGCTAGATTTGCCGTAGATTAGGTTAGTGTTTACGTTAGAAAAGATATATCCGGCCTAGTACCTCGTACGGTCTAATTTAGTTTCCCGATAAGTCGGTAGTATTTCCGGACGTCTACTATCTCCTTGTCCTTTATAATAGGTAGCAGATTCGCGTATTCGTTTGCCGGAGTCGATACTCGGAAGGTTTCGTCTAGATCTAAGCCCGCTTCTTTAAGCGTATTTTCGATATAGTTCCTTTAATCTAGTTATATAGACCCGTCGGCCTCTCTCTTAATTCGTACGCCTAGTATAAACTTAGCGGGACCTATATACTTTATTTTAAACCTCTATATAAGCCCGTCCTTTAGTAGTTTAACCCCCGCTTCTATCCTCGCTAGTATAATAAGATCGTTAACGTATAACGCGACTATTAGCGTATAGTCGCTATTAATAAAGACTAGTTAATCCGTAGGTATAGCGTAGAGGTCGTATTCTTTAAAGAAAGCCGTAATAGTCTTATTCTAAACTCGTCCGGATTGTTTTAGTCCTAGTACTTCTTTTAGGAGTTTAAGTACTTTATAAGTTCCGGGAACATCTAGGCCTTCCGGGATAGCTAGGTAGACTTCCTCTATTAGTTCTCCTAGTAGGTAGGCACTTACTACGTCTATTTAGAAAGTAGCAAGTCCTTTACTAGCGGCGATAGCTAGGAGAAGGCGTAGCCTTTCGAGATATATTACCGGAGAGAACGTCTTAAGGTAATCGATTCTATAGCGTTACGTAAAGCCCTTTCCTACTAATCTCGCTTTAAATTTGTCGATTTGTCCGTTCGGTAGTATTTTTACTTTAAAAACCTATTTCAAAGTTATAACGTTTATTTGCCCTTTTCTGTCCTTTAGCTTAGAATAGTCGACAATCTCGTAGGTATTATTAGCCGTTAAGGACTCGATATATTCTTTAATAGCGTCTTTCTATTATCGGGAGTAAGGGCCGCTAATAGCTTCCGTATAGGTCTCGGGAATAGGTATTTCGAAGGCCTTTCGATAGTCGACTTTTAGAGCCGCTAGTCCTATCTCGTCCCTTAGCCTCTTCGGTGCCTTAGGACCCTTATAGTCCTTCTTAGTCCTCCTTCGTTCGTAGGAGTAGTAGACGGTTCTCGAGTTATCCTTTCGCCGTTATTTAAACTATCTTCTTTGTCTTACGGTTCCGGAGTATTATCTTCGGCTTCGGAATATCCCTCTATTTCCTTAGATTCTCCTTTGTCTAGGAGATCGATATCGTCGTCCTCGTTATCTATAATATACTATAGGGTAGGTAGCTCTTCTCCGGATAGTAGGCTACTTCCCTTAGTTAATTCGTTAAATTTAACGCTAGTATAGATCCCGATAGCGTTCGTCTTAGGATTATAGATTCTATACTATTTCGTAGACTTCGTATATCCGACGAAGATTTCTAGGAATACTGTCTTTTCTAGCTTATCTTTTCTTTTCTCTTTAAAAATATACGAATAGGCTAGATAGCCGAATACTTATAAGTATTCTCCGCTAGGCTTTCTTCCGGTATAGAGCTCCTTAGGAGTTATTTCTCTTCCTTTATTAGGTAGCCTATTATATAAATAGGTAACCGTATACGTCGCTTTGCTTAAAGATTATTAGGAAATCCGGATCCTTCTAAAGCCGCCCGTATCTTAGTTATAATAGTACGGTTTTGTCTCTCTACTACCCTGTTTTATTCTAGAGTATAGGGCGTCGTTATTTCGATTCGTACTCTCGGATAGGCCTTTAAGAGCTTTAATAAGCTCCGGAGCGTTATCGATTCTTACGGCCTTTAGTTTCCTCTCGGTTTTAAGTTCGGCCTCGTCTTTCTAAGCCTTAAAGGCTTCGTATACGTCGCTTCTATAGCGAGTAAGACGGATATCTAGCCGTCTCGTAGCGTCGTCCGTAATCTTTAGTATATATCTATTTCCCCCTAAGATACTATACTTATACGGACCCTAAAAATAGATATATACCCTATCTAGGTAATAATATACCTTTTAAGGTTCTTCTCGACTTTATCGTCTATTAGAGTTTATAGTAATATAAGTCTCGTAAGATATATATAACGTTAAAAGCTCCGGAATTCCTAGTAGTACCTTATATACGTTTCGATGTTTTTTGTATCCCGGATATCCTAGGCGTTAATACTAAAGTAGTATAGTACCCTTAGTCGTAGTAGTAGCTACCCTCGAAGTTACGATAGATCCCGATTCCTTTAGAATATAGGACCTTCCGACGCGTAGTCCTTTAGCTAGTTCTTCGTTTCCTCTTCGAAGTATAGCCTATTCTTTAGTAAATAGAGTCGTAATACCTCGTTCCGAGAGTTAGCTTATTAAAAGCAGGTTATAACTAATCTCGGGCACGTATATAATATCCGGAATCGTAGTCGGAATTCCCTTAGACCGGACGAGGATTATACTATATCCCGCGAGCTTTATTGTTTTACCGTTCGCTAGAGTAACCTTTCCGGTTATTTCCTTATAGTCCGTAAAGTAGTTACTATCGTTAGATATATATTTAGTATATCCGGAGTCTAGGATCTAATCCCCTTTAGTAGATAGTTAAGTCGTAGAATCGATAGCCGTCTAAGCCGCGATCTTTAATTTCTCCTTATTATTTTCTTAGATTTCTCCGTTATTTTAGTCCTATTTATACTTCCTATATTCCCGTTTAAAGTACTAGATCTTTTAGTAATAGTAATACGTCTTACCTTTAGCTTTATAAGGCGTATTACGCGTAATAGGCGTATTGCCCTTCTTTCTATTACCGGCCTTATCTTTCGCCGCTTCCTTAGTATATCGGGCTACTACTTTACTACTTTAAGAAGTAGTAATAGTATATTTAACGTCCCGTAGTCGTTAAACTAGTTCTACGTAGGAAAGAGTAGAGAAACCGGCCGCCTTTAGAGCGAATATAGTAGACAAATACTCTTCTCCTAAAGACGATATAAGGACTACCTTCTTATAGGCCTCCGAGGGAGTTTCGTTACTAGCCGCGGCCTTAATCTCGGATTAGATTTGCGTAAGGGCTAAAGCCGTAGTATCGGTATTCTTAAGAGCTTTAAAGGAATAGAAACGGAAGACTAGCGTCGAAACCCGTTCCTTTATTAATATCTCGCTTACTTCCTTTATCTTATCGATTACCTCCTTAGTCCGAGTACGTAGTCCTAGGAGGTATATACGCTTATCTCCGGCCGTAGACTTAATAAACGTAATCGCTTTTGCGTCTTCTTCTTTAGCCTCTCTTACCTTAGCCTTATCTTAGCTTATAGATTCTAGTATACCGTTCCTATACTTCTATAAGCCTTATCTAGATAAATAATCTTAAATTAGATTAATTAGTTAAGGGCTTCTATACCGGCTATTATAGTCTTTCTATAGCAACCTTCTAAGGTCTAATAAGGTCTTAATGTCCACCTCCGGGCGCTTCTTTAGCTAGGCAAGTCGACGAGTTAGATATAGAAGTATAACTATTATATAGACGGCAGTCTATTAGTTAATACTATAGTACTTGTTAAATAGCTATCTTAAAAGGCAGTTTAAGCGGATAAGAGGCTTACGCCGTACGTTATATTCGGCTAATTAAGTAAGGCAGCTTCCTACACATTCTACAGCCTATTAATACACATCTAGTGCAATAGTATAGCCTTACAGCTTAAGAGTAACCTCCTTAAAGGGTATAAGGAAGGTACGAGTATACCGTAGAACCGAGTACTCGTCGCTAGTAAGCTAAGCCTCGTATAGATATAGTACTATATCTGAAAAGCTATTTAGGTCTAGCCTTATTTAAAGGGCTTCTTCTATTATAAGAAGCTATCTATTCTAGCGTATCTCTCTTAGAATCTTAGCTATTAAATAAGGCAGTTAAGGCTACGATATATATATCTTATTAAAGAATTAAAGTTATCGTTCGTCCGTAATAGCTTAGCGAGTACGAATAGCCGTTATAACAGCCCTTATCTAGTAAAGGAGTCTACGTCTATATCTAACTACCTAGAAATAGATAATATCTAGTATCGCTATCTTCTAGGTAAACTCTTTACTCTTAGCAGACTCCTTATCCTTAGCAAATATAAAGACTTCTATTATCTAATTAATATTATAGCTAATATAGCGGAGTTAATAGTCCTTCTAGTAGTTAAAGCCAGCCTATCGCACACAGCCCTCGACATATTCACAGAGCGTACTATTAGTAAAGGTATTGTTAGTAGTTAACTAGCTAATCTTGCTAGTTATACTAAAAACCTAGAAGTAAGGCATAACAAGCCAAGCGAGGAAGTTACCTATATACAAGCCGATTAGAAGTTGTAGCAAATCTAATCGTACTTAAACGAGCCTGCCCTTCTTATCTATATACTAGCAATTAATAGCTTAGAAGTGCTTCTTACTATACTAATCCTTCTCATATAGCAGCCTATGCTATCGCACGTAGGTGTTGATGTCTACGTACCTCATCGTTGGTCTAATGAGTCGTTCAAGCCGTGATTCTTGAAACGTGATTCTCGATCGTCTGCGGCCTAGAGGCCGCAGCGGAGGCAGGTTCTGGCGTGATGCAGGTCCGCGTTTGTACTCCTGTCTCTGAAAACGCCCCACAAGCGCTTCGGTTTCGTCTTCAAGTTCAAATCGCCGCAACATGCCTCCATCAACTTCCGTGTTATTGTCGAATTCATCTCCATCATCCTCTTCGTTGTTAGCGCCACCACCAGGACGAGAGGAATGATGAGCCGCAGCCTGAATCACGAAGGCGTTGATGCTATCCAGAGCGGCGGGATGAGAGAACTCATCGTCTTGCTCAGCTGCTTCTATAACCATCCATTGGTGGGGGTAGTGCTGAATGTCTGCGTCACGTAGCGCAGCAATGGCAGATTCTGACTTCCGAATGTGATCAGAGTCAAATGGCCGATCGGAATTGAGGCCTTGTAGTATCTTTACGCGAGAGGCGACGACAAAAGACAGGCTGGAGCAAAGGTCCTTCTTGGAGAAGCTCAGCACTGCCTTGTCAATTGTAAGGCCCTGTGACTTGTAGACCAGTAAGCGGATATTGCGTGCAATGGGATTTCTTGCTAGCAGGTATCAACGCGCGAAGAACCGGGAAGGGTGGAACAATCGCACGATCACCGATGTGGTTCAGTAAAGTACGAGCGTCATACAGATCCAAGAGAGATGGCTCAGATGTACTCGGCTCGCCACGATAGCGCCAGTCATAGCTATCAAACGCTACAAGGTTACACCATAGTGAGTCTTCAGTAGGGTGTGAGTATCCAGGATGCCTCGTAGACCATACAATGTCGTGCACAGTCCCATAGCGCCATTTGTGAGACTACGCTCAGTCCAGAGGTTGTTAAATGCGAGAGGAGTATAAAGGCCTTATGCTTCCTCAACAGTCGCATGCTTCGATGCCGGGATGTTGTGCTCCGCCGAGTCATGCAATATGGCATTCCCCGACCGACGCATGCAGATGTAGTTGTGCAGTTCAACATTCCTCTTGCGTCCATCGATACGGAGCGCATCGTCAAATGCGGCACTCCCATCAGGACTGAGGTCGCAAGCAGAACGAGTGTTGAGCAACTGCCAGTTATGCTGCGTAGCTGTGCTGTCTCGGAGGCCTTTGGCAGTACCGGCTGTCGCTGGACGTCAGTAAGGTCAATCGTGATCTCAAACCCGTGATAAAAGCGACGAACTTGCAACTGGGCGGCTCTCTTGGCAATGCCGAACAGTGCAGTGGCCTATAACAGGTGGCCGCTAGAACAGGTCGCCTATGAGGATGAAACTCAACCCACCAAAGCCAGGACTTCTCTTCGGTTACCAGGTGGTATGTATACTCCTTCCCATTAAGGCGACAGCTCATCTACACTCAATTCAGCAAATCCGGTATTGACTGCCAATTTGAGGAGTGCGTGCAAAGTGAAGCCTTCTCGCGTTCTGCATACTCTGGCGCGTCCTGAAATTCGGTATGACCAACTGATCTTGGTGGTGGAGAGTAATGATCATTTCTGCGCTGAGGACAAACGCCGTGGGGAAAGGCGATATGCCTCTATCCAAGTCGTGCAAGAGGGCACTGTGCCGTCAGGTGTCGTATGAGTTTCTTGCCAGGGACGTTGAATGATCATCGTCACGCGACACCAATCCTCGCCCTCGAACGTGACTCCCGATACCAGGTGCTGCTTGGCGCACCTGGTGTCATGCCGAGCCGAGCACTTGGTGTCGCACCTGGTGTCGAGTCGCTTGAGCCGGGCAGCGGATGTCCAGCTTGGCAGCTCAACACCGGGTCTTTGGATCTGTCTCATAAGCAGGGCAATAGTTCCGCACACGATCGGGCGCAGCCTGCTTGCGAGGCTTCAATTTCTTCTTCTGCGTAATGTCGACGCGGGTACCAAATTTGAAGAAGCTTATTATAGCAGCAAGGTCGAGCCCTGCCGTCACAGGATACCCCTGCGCTTATTTCGCAGCGCTCTATGTACTTCTTCCTCGAGCACAGAGCTACCCTTCATATTCACATCCGCCTGCTCGTCAATATCATATGAGGTGCCTTGATCCTCGTATTTGCGGCAGTGGATGGCAATGACCGTTCTCGAGGAGTGTACGAAAGCAAGCAGGAGGACTTGATAATGTATTTCCTGAGTGATCTAGTCGCGCCCTCCAATGAACTTGTTCATCATGCGGTAAGCAAAGGAAGAGACGGGGGTTTTCTCAGCTGGTACTGCCTCGGTAACCTCCTTCGCCATCGCGTCGTGCGATGCTGTCGCAACTTCAGCCTTGGTGGCATACCTGGCCAGGGACTCCTGGACAACCTTGTAGGGCACGACGGGAGTGAGGCCCCGTATACTTGTGCAGTTTGTCGGGTTATCTAAGGCAGGTTATCGCCTATAACCTACAACCTATAGGTTATTGTTAGCCGTTTACTTCGCTTTCTATACCATTAACTAGATTGTAGGTTATCGTATTGTAGGTGATCGGAATTGCTTGTTCTAGCAGTTGTATACGAATAACCTACCTACCTCCTCGTAAGGAGCTTTTGGCCCCTAAATAGCAGCTACGGAAATATCTATCTCTTAGCCTTATAGATCTCTCATTATACTATATTTTATTTTCCCTTACTATTGCTATACTATAATAGAAGCCGCTCGAGTCGCTGTAGTCGTTATTGCCCTTGCTAGTATATCTCTTACTACCGTTCTACCCTTCTTCCGACCTACGACTTAGGGGCGCTAGTACCGACCTTCTAGCAAAGTCGAGACTTTAATAGAGCGCGATAAAGGCAGGAAGGAGACGTATAAGTGTCTATATAGACCGGAAGACGTATGCTATAGTACGACGCGCCTTAGATAGCCGGTGCTACAGTCGCTAATCGAAGAGCTAGAAGAGAGCGGCGATTTAGATAAGTACGGCGCTATTAAGGTAGATATCGATAAATAGGTAGTAATATTCTTAGACTTCGTAGCCTATAACCTATCGGTGCGGCAGCTACGCAATTAGTATTAGCACTCGTTTAATACCTTCTATTTAATTATCGAGAAGGTTAGCAAAGCGCTCTATCGGATAGCCGATAAGTATATAAAGTTACCTAATAAGGACGAGGTCTACGAGAAGCTAAAGGAAGATAAGTTTAAATACTTTAGAGGTGCGATAGGCGCGCTTAACGGCACCTATATCTACGCTTAAATACTATACTAAGAATAGAGCGCGTAGCGCTATAGGAAGAACTTTATCGCGTAGAATGTAATAGCGGCGTGTGACTTTAATTATAGGTTCTAGTATGCTTTAGTCGGTTACGAAGGCTCTACGAATAATAGTACGGTCCTTAGACGCGCCTTTAAGAGTAGATTCTCGGTACTAGAAGATCGATATTATCTAGCGGATAGTAGATACTCGTCGCTCGATAAGCGCCTTCTCGTTCTATACTAGGCGACACGATATTACCTACGAGAATAGTATACCGTATAGCGAAGGCCTAAGACGAAGGAGGAGTTGTTTAATCTACGCTACGCGTAGCTTCGTAACTGTATTAAGAGGATCTTCGGCATTATTAAGAAGCGCTTCGCTATCGTTACGTAAGGTCCTTACTAAGGATACGAGCTTATCGACTAAAAGCGCATTATTATAGCCTGCTTTGTCCTTTACAACTTCATCCTTAGCTATAGCGCTTAACCTCTTAAATCCGAGCTATAGCTTACCGTTAATAAGAGTAGTATAATAGGTAATCGAGATAAGGCGAGTAACGCTATCTAAGGCGCTATTAAGGATGAAGATATAGTTAGGTTTCGTAATGAATTGGCGGAAGATATGTAGCAAGACCATCTCGAGTATCTAGAGTAGGAGAGGCTCTATATACGTAGAGCGTAGTAGTAGCGGAGGTCGCGGTATACGCGGAGGTGTTTAGTTAGGAATAGAAGCGCGATTTTAGTAGGGATTCGAGTGTTTCTTCCCTTATTTAGCTATTAGTAGTATACTACAATCTCTCTCGTATTAGTCTCGAAATCCTAGATAGGCAGTCGCATATACGATTAACGTTACGACTGTACGGTCTTAGCGGGGTATATAGGAGGTAAAGAGTTCGAGAATTGCGTTTATATAAAGGCTAGTTACGTACAATTTATCAATACACTATCGAATGCTAATAAAGTCCAATCAATCCAAATACCGCAGTTATTAATATATAATATCTTTCCTCCTCGCACGCTAAAGTCGATAAATTAGACTCGGTCTCGGAAGAAGCTAAATTCGACCTTAGTTATTCTAACTAAATCCATTCTTCTAACAACAACAACCTATCTCTAGCTCTGTAGATAGCCTCTATTCGGCATAGGACTATATAGCGACGGTTGGCTATAATTAGGTATGTCTAGATACTATCCTTATAGTTTAGGAGCGCTGCTAACCTCCTAATAAAGCTCCTAGAAGAACGCCTCGAAATCGGCCTGCCTCTCCGGCCTTACTATCGATACGGCGATATTAGTACGATAATTGACCTTTCTAACCTCCTTCGCTATCGCATTCTTTAGCGCAAATAGCTACTCTTTTAAGACCTCTAGATCAAACAACCGCTTACAAACAATCTCTAATAGGTCCTTTACTCGTAGTAGCGGCGTAGAAGCCCTAGCTTCGGAGATAGACATAAAGTTAGCGAGTGTCTCTTATAGCGGCTTAAAGGCAGAGATAGCGGCCTTCTTATTAGCCTCTTGCTTAGTAGTCTGTTTCCGATAGATACGCTTACCTTTAGCCTTTGCCTTCTGCATCTTTTGCTTATTAAGCTTCTGTTTCTTCGCTGCAGTCTTACACTAACGTTCAAACTTACTAAGTTTATCTAGGTCCTTAGACTTAGTCGCTCCGCCGCTATCCTCGCTAGACTCCTTGTTAGGCTCTTTATCCGACTTATCTACGGCCTTATCGCTAGGCTTATCTTCCGCTAACGTTTTCGCTGTTTCCGCTCTATCTCCTATTGCTATATTACTTCCGATAAGTGTCTCTAACTCTTCCTTCTACGCTAGTAGGCGCTCGAGAAACATAGCGTACTCCGGATAAGCCTTATTGTAAGCATCTTCTACCTCTTCTATCGACCGAGGTAGCTCGCTATTCTAGCCGCTAATATAGGTTAAATAGATAACCTACAACCGCCACTCCTTCTTTATCTATATCCACTTATTCTTTAACGACTCGTCCTTAAACTAGAGCTAGAATTTCTCGCTTATTTAGACAGTAATAGGCCGTAGGTCCTTCAACCGGAAGTTCTTGCTATCGGTCTGTTTAGCGCGTAACTTAATCAACTCGTCGAGGAAGAATTTAAGGTGCTCGTTAGTATACTTCTGCAGTAATAGATACTGCGTAGTCGCGTCCGCCTTAGGCTTCTTCCGCTGCTATCGCTTCCGCTTTATAGCACTGCTATTGCCTGCGTCTACGGCACGCTTTAGAGCTATAGCAGTAGTAATAGACAAGAGATAGCACAAATAAGGGTGGTTAATTAGTGAAGAGCCGGAATAGCACTTAGATTAGAAGACGCGGCGCACCTTTGCTACTAAGAGAGGCTAATTGCGATAATCTACAACCTCATTTAACTATAAGAGCCGTTCACTTGATAACCGGTTATCTACAGGTTATTAAACACAGGTTATAACTTAATAACCTACAATCTACAAACTGCGCAAGTATACGGGGCCTGATGTCAGTGTTGTCCATTTGAGACATAATAGGAAGTCTGCTGTAGTGATTGAGCATAGGCTGATTGGATGCTGAAAACTCCCAGTGCTTGCTGTAACACTCTTTGGTAATTTCGGGCTAGTCGCGAATACCTCGTGGGTATCCAAATCGACACTTCCGGGGACCATCAGCAGGAGCGCCCTTCTTGCGACGAAGACAGTAGCTCTCAGTACACTTGTGGTGATTCACGCGGTTGACAATGCTGGATAGTGTGGACTGGGTGTTGGCGAGCTCGACCGCAGGAAAAGAGGTTTCACTAGGCTCCGAAGAGTCAAGAGGAGCTGGCAGCTAACCACGGTCCTCCGAATCAAAGGCTAAGACGTGGAGACCAAATGGGCCAGTGCACGCCTCGCGGTCTTTCTCGTTCTCGAAGTCGAAGCTTGGTATACCGTCACACCATGTGAAGCCATGATGATAAGCACTGCTACGGCCTCGTGATTCTCTGCGGGTCCAGTGGTCGGTAACGTTTGGGATTCTTCAGCAAGACCTCATACAGCTTCTGGATGTACCATATAAGCAAGCTTCGAGCCCATCAAACTGGAGTAGAAAGGCACGAGGATCTACCTCATGTGACGGGAATGCGGTCTTGACTCATGCTTCGTAAGCCTGGCCTCTCGTAGGTTGCGTTTGAGCATGTAGGTGGACTTGCGAATTGCTTGCTGTCGCATATCTGTATTAAATGCGTCATAGACAAACATTGGATGCTGGGCAAAGCGTTTCGACCTCGATGGGGTGCTGAAGCCACTGAATGAAGGTAACAATCCGGCGGCGAGGAGAGACTGGATCTGCGAGACATCGATTGAATGCTCTAGGGTATGCGAGGCTAAAGGTCCTCCAGCTGCGATCGAATCACGACGGAGGGATCTCCTAGCAGCGGTTGGATGCCATTGACGCAGGTACCGCAACAGCGTCTTTACGCTGCAGAATAAGGTCTCGCAGGTGACGGGTCGTGACCGTAGACACACCCAAGCTTGGGAGACTGGAGTTCGAAGAGCTTTCGTCTTCTGCCTCGCGACAGAGCTCACCTCTTCGTGCTTGATCATCAGCATGAGCACCAGCATCAGCATCAGCATCAGCATCAGCATCAGCATCAGCATCAGCATCAGCATTAGCATCAGCATCAGCATCAGCATCAGCATCAGCATCAGCATTAGCATCAGCATCAGCATCAGCATTAACATCAGCAGCCGACTGCCCTTGCTGGCTCTGGCTCTGCTATGTAGGGATAGGACAGCCCTCAGCATCACGCGCAGCGTTGATGGCATATTGTCCGTCAAATTGGCATTGGACGGCAATCCAAGAATGTTGGGGTCGTTGATTTGAATGTCGGGGTAAGCTGCACGATGATGGGCCTCGAGAGCTTTTAACAACCAGCGGGTAACTGAGCGACGTACCTTGAAATCTTTCTCAAACTGCTGATGAAGTCGTGGGTCGGCATCGTGTTCATCAGCCAGCGGTAAGAGCACAATGAGATCCGTCTCTACTGAGTTCATCGGCAGGGAGCTATACAACTTGACTATATCCCACGAGAAGGGCGCAACGTGTCCCTCGAAGCGACACTGCTAACCACGAATCTGAAAGATCAGCACGAAAGCATGCAATCGTGCAATCAGCTTTTCCCCAGTTGGAAGACTCAGAACCTCAGCGCTGTGACCTGGATCCACGTCGTTTTCAGCGCCGTATAGGTTGACTTAGTGGCATTTGTGAACATTCCTGCAATGACGGCAGACACAGTCCTTGGCCTGCATTTCAAACCACTCTTCGTCACACTGCGAGCATTGCTGCACACATCGCAGCCCGAAGTGCTTCATCGCGATTTGACAATGCAGGCTGTCCACGAAGAAGGGTATAGAACTCTCCATTGTCGCTATCGCAGTCTTCGGTAGGAATCACGGGGGAAACTTGTTGATCGGCGAGCGCCGGACCGCCAGCAGGCGGTGATGCGTTTGACGGAGGACGTGTGCGAGTGTGTCGGCGTATCGTTGGTCGCAGCGCATTGTCGTGGACAATGGAAGTAGCGTATTGCTCCTAGTTTCCACCGACCTGGCCTGTTGTGGCGTCGTAGAAGAACTCGTTGCAACCAGTGTCGTGTTTTCCAGCCTGGCAGGACTTCTTATCGCCTTCCATGATGTCACAGCCCAAGTCACTCTGAAGCTGCCTACGCCATAGATTGTGCCGAAGAATTTCGCAAACGTAAGAGTCAAAGAAGTCGCCCAGCTTCGGCGCAAGAATCCTTACATTGACTCGTGGGCGCGTGTTACAGCCTGTGTGCTCAAGTTCCTGCGTCCTGCCAAATGGCTTCCCGAAGAAGGTAGAGCGAGCGGCGCCGTGGATGCCAGATGAACACCACTTCTGATGCTGGTGAAGATCTTGCCCAACGATGTTCTTGTGACACGAAATGCATATCTCAACATCGGCTGGTAGAGCTCTCCAGGCAACAGCTCCAGGCAGCCGACGTGCCTTGCAATTGGAGTATAGGAGCTCTTCGGCTTCTTCGTCGTCAGGTGGATAACCTCGAGCCGTGCTTTGCTTCGAGACTGAGGTATCGATTCGATGCTGCTTGCTCTTCTGGAGTGGCGCTTCTGCCTGACGCTCTTGCTGGCCGAGTGGAACATGTATGTCTTCGTCTGGACCAAGGCGTGGGAGCTCCTGCATTGCTTTGGGAGTAAGGGCATTCTTGTGCTTCAACTTGGGTCAACCGGCACCTTCGCGACCGCTTCCTGCTCCGATAGTCGCTGTCCTGTGCTCGCGATAAATGCCTTGACACTTGCTGTTATCGTTGTACTCATCAACGGGCACCCACTTCTTGCAAGCGCTGCACCTGCTAACCAAGTCGAGTTGTTTTTGGGCAGGAAGCGGCTTCTTGAGTGGTCTCCGACCTGATGGATCTCCGCCGCCGCCACAGATGCTGACTCGACACCATTATGTCGGCGTGTTGTGTGAAACCAAGCATCCAATGGAACCGAGCAACGACCGAGACGACAAGGAAAGGTATAGCGAAGAGTGCGAAATGTCGCATGGCTCTGAGCTGTTGAGGCAGTTCGCCGCCGTGATCGTGATTGTCGCCGCCGTGATTGTCGTCGCAACCGTGGATTGTCGCCACCGTGATTTCTGCGCCGAGCACGTCATAGTGCTTTCTGATGCTCGCGGCACGTGACTTGTCTTTTTGATTTCTACCCATCAGAGGCCGAGCTGTGTTTTTTGAGGGAAGGCCTTTTTGATTCTTGAATCCTCGCCGCGCCGATGCGTTTACCCAACCCGAGGCAGAACTCTGACGTGTATCTTGCACTCGCTCTAGGCACCTTCCACAACTCGAGGAGCTTGCTGGGACGACCTTCTTCGCCATTCCTAGGCACTTCCGCTGACGAACAGCCTTTGCCGTCTTCGACATGCGAGTGCATTTGCGGTACGCGCTACGATACTTACCTTCATACCAAAGGGTGATGTACTCCTAGAACAGTATGAATTCAGTCGCACCCACTATCGCTGGTGTATTTCCTTCTTCAGGTAGGCCTACACCTCCTGAGCAGTATTGAGTCCAAGCAGTGACTACTGGATCTCGGAAACACAGCTGGCAAAGATCCAGGTGCATGCTTCCTTTGCATCCCATTCACCCCGGCGTCCTCGAAGTGTTCTAGTGACTCACCTGTATTGGCCTTAGCAGGCTCAAGCATACGAAGATGATGGGTAGTTCTCTTTGTTCTTCCATTTGGGAATGTTTCTCATGGGAGGGCGGGAAGCGGGGGGCGCCATTACTGCTGTAGACGACGAGAACAGAAGAGACCAGCGCTGTATCGGCTTTGCACTGAGTTTCGGGACGCGTGGGGGGCAGCGGACGCGTTGTTGTTGTGTTGTATTGCACAGACTCGAGCCAGCACTTGCTGGAAGCCCCGGGGCGTCGGCGACAATATTGGCGGCGCTGCAAAATTTGGTGACAATTGCTGGCTACGCAGCGCTCGAAGGGACGGACTATCAAGGAGCGTGGTAAACGTGTTGAATTGTGTTGGAAAAGTTGATGTGCCTGCCTAATGGATTGGAAGGAGGAACTGTCTGCACGAAGTCCGGACGTCCGGAAGAGGGAGTGCAGCAGTTGCAGCTTCAGGCGTGAGAGACTTGTTGTGCAGCGGCCTGAACCCACCTGTACAGTCAAATTGGGCCTGCGAACGGGCCGACCTGTTCAGTCATTCAGCTCCCACTTCGGGAAACCGCACTGCATCGACACTACAAGTTCGCGCCCAGGCCTCGAAGTGGGTCGAATCGATCATGACGCGACTATGTCTCCCAAACCCAGCAGCGTAGCAGCTTTGCCGCACTTTCTTCAAGCACAAGTTGCGAATTGTCTCGGACGTTCGACGCGCGGGTCTTTGATTGAATACATGAAGTTGTAGGCGCGGCGTATCGTAGGTCGCGCAGATTCAGAATTCCCAAAGACCTAGTGCTGAGCTGCCAAGCTGCCAAGCTCGACACCTGGTGCCCGGCTCATCGGCTCAGCTGCGACACCTGGTGCTCGGCTGAATCGGCCCGACACTAGGTGCTGCTTGTCGCACCTGGTGTCGGGTCCCTCTCACTAAATCAGATTTATATCGCCTTATATCAGATTTACGGATTCTGCCGTAAGCAGCTAGGCGCCGCGTTTCTTAGTTAGTTATTAGTAATTGTCGCGTCGCGTTACTCTTATTCGAACCGTAGAATATTGCCTATAGAATAATCCGTATAGACTACCTTACTATCGCCCCTATTATATAGCGCTAATAGCTTAAACCGACGACGAGTTTATAAGAGACCTTCTCGCTAGTCTAGACCCTAGTCTACCGCCGCCGCCGTCCTTATTGTCGCCGCTATTATCGCCGCTCTTATCGCCGGAATTCGAGGATAGTAGAAGCGAAGGTAGTAGAAACGAGAGAGGTAAGGGCGGCGGAAACGAAGGTAGTAGAAATAAGGGAAATAAGGGCAGCGGAAACGAAGGTAGTAGAGATAGCAATTATTAGAGCGACTCGGACGACGATTTAGTACCTATACTAGAGCAGTTTAACCGTATAGCGGCGCCGTAGAGTTAGTCGTTTAAGTCCTTCGAGAAGCTAGAAGAATATATATAGGTCTTTAGTTTAGAGTATAGGTTTAAGCTAAATAAGACTAGCTATCGGAAGGCGAATAATAAAGTAGTATATCTCTTCTTTAGGTACGCTAAATATAGTACTAAGAAGATACTAGCGCAGGCGGAAGAAGCGAAGAAGGCGCGTATTACTACTAGTAAGGTAAGGCGGAAGGGCGCTCGAACAAAGAAGATAGGTTATAGGTTTAATTGCTAGGCCTTCGCTAATAATTATAATAAGCCGACTAGCTCGTAGACTCTATAGTAGAATAAAGAAGACTATAATTATCCTGCCTTAGCGCCAATCTGCCTCGCTAACTACCGCCGGCGTTGCTATTACTCGAAGTTAGTAAAGTTTATAGTTAGTTTAAAAGCTAAGGGCGGTCTTATTATTAAGGCTATTCGAGCGTAGGCAAAAGCGACCTTCTATAATAGCGACGACCCTTATTTCGTTCTACTATTAGCGACTAATATATCGAATGCCTAGAGCAAGGCTAAACGTATTAAATTAGATAGTAAGACGGCTATCGAGAGGTCGTTATAACAGCTTAAAGATTAAGGTTACTAGTTTAAGTCTAACTTCGACTTTACTATAGAAGAATTAGCTAAATTTACTAGATTAGAGCCGGAGCCTAAGGACAATAGTAACGAAGCGGAAGACAGCGACGACGACTCGCGCCTTAAGTAGATATTCTTCGCTTATCCGAAGATAATTAAGTACTATAAGCATAGTCCTAACGTCCTGCTTAGAGACTGCACCTATAAGACAAACGACTACGATTTGCTACTGTTTATAATAGCCTAGTTAAACTAGTTCAACTAGGTTATGCCTCTAGCAATAATGCTAATAAATAGGTAGAAGCAAGGCAACTATATAATAGCACTAAAGTGCCTTAAGAAGCTGTTTAAAGACTACAACTGCTCGGAAATGCGAGTCTTCCTATACGACCGAAATAGAGCCCTTATTAACGCTATATAGCGTATATTTCCTAAGCTTCTAAGCATATGCTATCGCTAGTATATAAGAAGCGCTGTTCTTACTAATGCTAAGTATTATATTGGCACCTATATAAACTAGTCTACTAAGCGACTAGAGCCGACTGCTAAGACCGAGTTCTTTATAAAGGTCTTCGACAAGGCCGTAGAAGCCGAGACTAAAGACTAATTTAAGTACTACAAAGGCGTTGTTATCTCACTCGGCAAAGGCGAGCCTATTCCGGAAGCACTTAAATAAGAAGACCTGCACTTAGTTAACGCCGACAAGTAGTATATTATAGCCGATTATCTCGACGATTAATAGTAGCCGTATAAGAAGAAGTGTGTTAAATACTAGACAGATAAGACTCGCTACTTTAGTAATATAACAACCTTACTAGTTAAGAGCGTCTACGCGTTACTAAAGTCCTTCCTTACTACCTCGAAGAACGATATCTTAACGTTCTTAGACCGACTCGACGGCTATTTTGATTACTAGATTAACCGTTATATTGCTAGGCTAGGCAAGGAGACTAATATAGGCTGTTCTCGCTATATTAATAGCGATTATTATAACAAGGTTGTCCGCCTCGTATCTATATACGGTCTTAAGCTAGTAGAGCAATAACGTAACCTCGCTACGGCCGAGCTTTAGAAGATAAAGGAAGACGTTAATTTCTAACCGAAGCTATACTTAGGTCGCTTCCGGAAGGTCTATAGCGTGCCTTGCCGCTACTAGTAGCGACCTCTTCTTGCTAGTAAGGGTCGTTACGTTCTATAGGTACGCCTGTTTAACAAGTACTAGTTTATACTAGGGGGCACTTCTATAGCTATAGAAGAGTCCGAAGACCGTAAGCTTAACCCTCTTAAACGACGATAGAAGCGACTCGAGAAGGTAAGCAAGAAGGTACGTAATAGCAACAGTCTCGGCGGTACGAGAAGGTAGGCAACTAGACCTAAACGTATAGACCCTAGCAATAGAGCCACTCTACTACCTAGTTATAAGACACTAACGATTATTAACTAGCAAGAAGCTATTCGCAATACCGAGCCTAGCCGTATAGCACCTCTAATAGCACTACTAAGGTTATAGGCTTCTAGAAGGAAGAGGTGCCGCTATAAGACAACCTACTAAGGCAATTACGGCTATAAGAATAAGGGTAGCTACACTGCTAAGTGCTATAGCGAGGACTTTCCTTGTCTATAGAAGCCGCTACGGTCTATAGAAGCCGCTAGACCTTTATCTACGGCTCCGGCTTCTATAGGTCTGCCTATACCGTTAGAAACACCTGTTTAGTAGCAGCCTCCTTAGTAGCCGCCGCTACTACTACTACTACCTAGATCTATGCTTCCGCTACTACTACCTAGATCTATGCTTCCGCTACTACTACCGATAGGAAGCTAATAGATACCGCTACTAAGCAATTAACAATAATAGTAATACTTTACTTCGAGCTAGTAGTATATAGTAAACTAGCACTTCTACTATAGCTAGGTCTAGGGCAGTAAGGTCTATAGTTACTACTATGTCTATAGAAGGCTTAGCGGACAGCTACCTAACCCTTAGAGCTACTACGGTAAAGGGGTATTCTATAATTACTTACTAGCGAATAGCTAGCCTACTAGTTACGACCCTTCCTATATTACGTAGGCCCGAAATGCTAGCAGAGCTTACCAATATTGTAATCAGTTGCTATTTATATAATCTACTGCAGTATTCAATCTATTCCTAGGTCTATATTCACTTCTTACTACTAGAATCGGCTTAGAATCTATTTATCTACCGCTGCAGTACTATGTGATTGCGCGCGCGATATTATTGTTAGCGTATCGCATACTTAGCGATCGCAGGTGGCAGGATTAGGTAAGGAACCGGTAATATCCGTGAATCTGATATAAGGCGATATAAATCTGATTTAGTGAGAGGGGTGTCGGGTGTCACGTTCGAGGCACAACTTGCCAGGCCAGATGAAATGCGACACCTGGCACCCGAAAAGCGCGAAAATCAGTAGAAGAAACAGGTCAAGAACAAAAAGAAGGATCGCTGGTTTCACCCACAGTGAACGACTTCGTGCTGAAGCGGAGATTTCACCTGTTAAGCTAGCATTTACCCAAGTGGCTCCCCATTCCGCTGTGGTCAGCGTATCCGGTCCGCCTGGTGCCGGCGGTCGGTTGCGCGGTGCTGTTTACGAAAGCAGCTGTGAGTTCGAGCGAACAGAAGCGAGCCTGAGGCAAATTCGAGAAAACGAAGCACCTGGAACAGCTACCACCTATCGCTCATCTCAAACTGCTCTGCTTCACCCAAAAGTTCTCAAACCTTCGCCTCGCTACAGTGTTTGTCCTAGCAGTGCGCCGGCAGCTCATCGCCTCCTCAACGAGGCTTCTCCGGGAGACTCGAGGTTAAGGTCATTAAAGCCCGTCATTCATCCGGCCAATAACCTCCGCATAGCAGAAGTCACCAATCTCGTGGGATTGCAGCGCGACATCCACTTCTCTGACCACGAATGTCGCAAGAAGTCACAGCAGGAGTACCAGTAAGGCCATCGGTCACCGTCGAGATCTCGCGGTAGACATTCTTGTTACCAATGTGCTCGTCCGTAGAGGGTAGGAGATCAATGATGCAGTCCATGGTGATGTGCATGCAGCATTGCGGAGGCGTTGGCAATGCCGACTGTGCATGCTCTCTGCAACCGAGAAGGATTCGCTGCTCGACAGGCGCGACAATTGCGTGGGTAGCGCACTATGTCAGCCGCAATCTCAGGCCAATCTGGGTTGTTGCGCATGATCAACTCGAGCGTCCGATTGGTGCATTGAATGCCTTCCCAAAGAACTTTCGTGGAATTGCTGGATGGCTCGAAGGTTTTTTGAAGGTGGGCATGTGGAACCGCTTGCTGATGTGGTGTCGGTCGTCGCGAATCTCACGGTCCGCTGGACATGCCTTGCTGGCACGCATCCAGTGTGACACGGAACCCTCTTCCAGATGCTCCTTGGCGCCCATCAATTCCTGCTCTTACGCTTGCTCAGATATGCGGTCTCTCGCCGATTCCATGTCGCTCCGATCTCGCTTGGTTGGGTTCTCCGCTGGCGCCGGCTGTGGAGGTGGTTTCGGTGTTGTAACCCCTTGCCCTTTTCTTGGTCTTGTCCTCAACAGCTTCGTTGGCCACGCCTTCGGATTCATATCCGCTGTCTTCACACTTCGTGGCGAAGCTTGTCACGATATCCAAATTCTCTTGCTTCAAACTCGTGCGTTCTTGATGCTGAAGCCGAGGGTCATCGACGTAGGAAGGAAGATCTTGCGTTCGGAGTGTGGGCCCTGTCAGGGTGATCTTAAAGATCTGGGGTCTTCGAGCGCGAGAGCGAGATGTTGAGATCTGCGAGATCGCACGTCCAGTCAGTCGTCGGATGTTTCATCGGTCTATGCGCATGCGAACAGAATGTTTCTCCCTTGTATCTCGTCGTGCTTTTGGACTTGAGAGCGGGCCGCGATCTGAAGCTTATTCTAGCACGTGACCGTAGTCGCGATCTCAAAGCCCGCAGTGGAAATCCCGAAGATCTGCGCGCGTCTCTCTGAATACCATACCACAATCATACCACAATACCAACACTATGTGAACTCCTGAATTTGGCTGTTTCGTGAAATCGGTGTCCACTCATCAATCTCCCAATCCAGTCGCTTCGCTTCGCCTACGGTCAACTCACCCTGCAACATCGAAATCTGCACACACGTTGCTCCCGACCGAGCTCGCTCGTCGCGATCTTCATGCATCACCGGCGAAAGACCATACACGAAGCAGACCACGATGACGATCATCACAATGTGCGCGCGCAGCACGAACCGGACTGACAAGAGTTGGAAGTAGTTGGGAAGGGATGCTTCGTGTTCTCATTGTGCTTGCGCGTTCTTCACGATCTCTCGCTCCAAGCTGCCACGGAAGGCCGGAAGGGATACCTCCACATGCTGAACCAGGACAAGCAATGGCATCGGATGCGCATCGAGCTTTGCCAAACTGTCGTGCCAAGATCATCACGCCAGATGCCCACCAACTTCAGCAACCTCCAGCAGCACCTGCAGACTCGAGTCCTCGCGACAGTGCGATCGATGCCTCCGCCAGCCACTCTCCGAGCGCATCACTCGCAGAGGCACTACCAGCAGCTCCAGCAGCGCCAGCAGCGCCAGCAGCGCCACAAGCCTTCGAGTCTTCAGAGCGAAACCCGCCACCACCGAACGACGATGACGACCTATTCGGCCGAGCCGATCAAGATGGTACGAACGACTCCATCGCCGACCATGACACTGAGGGCGTTACGTTGGCTCGCAACACCAGAAGTGATCAAGATGTAGGAGCGAGAGGCGACCGCAGAAGGCGAGGACAGCGAGCGTGAGACACCAGGAGCAGGTGTCCAACGCCCTTGACGTTCATCCCGCGTTCAACGAATCGCTGTTCAACATGCCGGAATCTACACAACATCTATACCGGAACAAAACCAAGCTCATTCCTCAACACAGACTGAAATCCTTCCTGTCCACCTATTGCCACTGCAGACCTCATCTCCTTCCCCCATCCTGTGAGCGGAAATGGTCGGAGGTCTTGTCCAAGACTCGGACGACCTCGGCCGTCTCCTTCAGCACTAAGGGCTCCGTGTGCTTGTGGGAAAGACAATTGACTTCGACAGACCCGGCGTGCTAGAGCGCTACTTCTCCGAGGCTCAACTTTTCGAAGCACTTCCTCAGAGCAGCGTTGAATGTTTCCACACCCTTGTCGGGGGTAGTCGGCACAAATCGTTGGAATCCAGGGCCACTGTACGTCTGAAGCTTGGTACATTCGTTCATGGCTCCCTCTTGAGCTGGAAACAAGATTGCCCGAGTTCAGGTGAGGTTTGTATCAACGGCGCTGCAGAAATTTGAAGCTCAACCCGGCTCCGCCTCAGGACCAAATTCAAGCTCATGATTTCTACTGCCCACCCTTCATCGAACTTCACCTTTCGAGGAGACATATCGCATGAGGGCTGTAACGCATCACCAGAGAGCCGTTGACCTTGATCCACTCGTCGTCGCCTCTGCAACGTCGTTTCAGCGAAAATTGTTAGTGTCGGCATACAATGATTCCAAATTGCAGACTCACTCTTCTTTCGTGGGTACTGACTAGGGTGTTGTTCTTTTCGTCCACCTGATTGATCGGCGTGCTATGCGGCAGTTTTTCGGCCACCTCTGTTCGGAATTGGGCGAGATCAACGGCGTCATCCTTGATTGTTGGCGCCACCGTCCTCATCACTGCTTGCTGGTAGATTGGAAAGCGATCCTCGTTGACTTCAGCACTGATGTCGTCCGTTGTTGACATCATGCACTACAACGCCAACCGCCGAGTCGGTCCTCCAGGCCAGAAGACCAGCTACGAATACAAAGCAGCGAGGCATGTCGTGCGTCATTGACGTGTGTTGCCTGGGGGCTGGAGACTTACGGCAATGCGGAAATCTCCTCGACACTGCGACCTTCACTTCCGTCTCACGATTCCGGAATCCACGAAACCCTATCCCCATGATGGAGCAAGCTCATTCTATGCAGGGTATGTACGTGGGCAGGCGCCTGTAGCACCCACGGTAGTCCGTCACTTCGTCACTCTTCCATACTTTGTCATTCCCGACTTCAGCTGAGACACCGATACTCCCAAGACACTGACACCGCTCGCACCGTCGTCATTCATAGCATACAATGACTAGGGCTTCTGGCCAATCCGCCGCCGCTGCCTCGAGGCATTGAATGGGATTGTTGAAAGTGCTGGAAGTGACTCGACACTTTGATCTGGAGCGCGCGACACCTGAGCGCGTGTAACACTTCAACCTGAGATCTGCGAAGCGACACAGCGCGCACATCTCCATCCCGGTCTCTACTGCAATATCTCAAGTCTGTCACGCTGATGATCTCTCCAGAAAGCCTGCATACCGTGGCTGTGGCGGCCTCAACTCCGCCAGTAGAGGGCACCTCGAACGAGATACCGCCGACAACGGGCGGCATACTACCGGCGGAGAGTGATAAATGGTTCGATGAACCCTGCGAGCCTCCAGCACAAGAAGAAGCGCGCCCGATGAAGACGAAGAGGTTCAACTCCTAGGCATGCATTCCTCCAGTTCTAGACAAAGCCGACTAGAAAGCCTTGCACTAACGTGGGAGACGAGGAAGAACGAGGAAACACCCGGCGAAGATGGAGATAAGTGGCACAGCAGCGCACAAGGTGGGTAAAGAGACGGCGCGACATCTGAGCAAGATTTCGAACATGGGCGAAGAGGCAGCGCCTTGCCAATGGAGGAACGGGCGTCATTTGTTGAGCAAGCAAGGACGGCGAAGTAGAGGAGTTCGAGGACCAGGGCGAGGAGGAGAATGATAGTAGCGCTAGAGAGAGCGACGACTACATCTAACTTTGATACAGATGCCGAAATGCGAGACGCACCAGACACCTTGGCCCTAAAAGAACTAGAAGCCTCGAGAAGGGAATGTCTCCAACTCCAAACCCAACTCTGACAGACTCGGGCTGCAGGTGAACAGCAAGCACGACAGGGAGAAGAGAAACGTTCTGGTGACGTGGGAACTGCAGACGTGGCGCAAGAACCAGTGCTTTTCAAAACAGATACAGGAGAAGAAGCCCTCGATCTTTACCTAAATTTCTGGAGTCGCTCACATGCTGAAGATGCAGCCGACGAGGCTCCGACGTCTGCTGCAATCCACCGCTCGCTGAAAGTTACTGAAGTGATGTCGTCTGCACGCTCCCTTGAGGACCGCCTGGCAGCCATAATGGCCCCCCAGGAGACCTGCTTGATGGCCCATGCTATTTGGCGTAGGGAAGACCTACAACAGTTGACTGCTTCTTTTGAAGCCCTATAGCCTTCATTTTCCTGGAACTCCTCCAATGTCTTCCCGAGCTCACAGTCCAGATGTTTCTGGCTGAAGGTGATGTCCAAAGGCGAACACGGCCATAACAAGACGATTGTTGAAATCTTGGGAGGGACAGACAATGGAAGGCGCTTCGGTGCCCTGGGTCTATGTATTTACCTTCCTTCGAGAACCTCATGGAAACACCAACAATCTGAAAATACCAGAACATGACACGACACCTTGATCTGAAACGCGCGAGAAGGGCGAATACGGCCAGAGCAAGACGATTGTCAGGATCCCAAGGTCAAAGACGGATACCGAGCTGTACTCCTTTCAATTCAACAGCGTGCACCTACGATCAACATGCCGCACACCGGGACATCTTCGAGAACGAAGGTGAGTCGCATTAAGAGGAAGAGGCCTCTCGAAATCTCGCCAAAGGCGATGTCAAAGTCGACCCCGGCGAAAGCAAGACGATTGTCAAGATCCCAAATGCAAAGACGGATACCGAGCTGTACTCTTTTCGATTCAACAGCGCGTATGTGCGATGAACATGTTCCGCAACGGGACATCTCCGACGATGGAAGTGAATCGCGTCGAAAAGAAGGAGCCTCTGGAAATCTATGCCAGCACGCTTCAATCTCCCCTACAATCAAGCACCTCTTGCAAAGCTTCGACAGAGTCACTGGAACTGGAAAGACGCATACCATGCGAGGCGGCCTTTGAATTCAACAGCGTCTACTATAAACATGCTACAATCAAGGTACGTCGCGTTGAGAAGAAGAGGCCTATAGAAACCTATGCTAACACGTTTCAGGCTCGCCTACAGTCAAGCACCTCTTCAAGGGCTTCGACGCAACACTCTTCGCCTACGGAGTTACCGGCACTGGAAAGACACACACCATGCGAGGCGGAACGGCATTGGCAGGTCGAGGCGTCTCACCTACAGAGTCACTGGCATTGGAAAGACATGTACTATGCGTGGCGTCTCGCCGACAAAGTCATCAGCACTGGGAAGACACATCCCATGCGAGGCGAAAAGGCATTGAACCAGCTCTGGAAAGACACATACCATGCGAGGCGAGACGGCATTGAATCAGCGCTGGAAAGACACATACCATGCGAGGCGAAAAGGCATCGGAGCGGCACTGGACAGACACATCCCATGTAAGGCGGAGAGGCATCATCCTCGCCATTATCGTAGCCGGTTATATGAACTGGTGGCTGAAACAAACAAAAGGTCAGCCTGGGATTTCGACCTCCCTCTTCGTGATTATGATCACTGTCGCTGCTCTCATCTCCACTACACCCCGTTCCTGCTTGGGTGGAATGCGAGAGTTGGTCTTGTCTTGGCGGTCTGGATTGCTGGTCGTGCGTGATCATCGCCTACGCCACTACTATCTGCAAGTGCTGCATGTGTGACATTTCTTACTTCCTGTCTATCGAGATTGTAGATCAATTCTCACGAAATACCCCATCTATCCGTAAGCATTGTGAAGCTTTCGTCCTCGAACTGCGTGTCATTGCGCCATCGCACGGGCTACATAAACTCGTGATCCTCATCGGGTTTCTCGTGTCAAGTCTGGCCCAATCCCTTCCAGTGCCTCCTATCGTATCTTTTCCTGTTTTCTTTGATGATGTTGGTGTCCGGCTCTTCATCCAGCATACGCACTGTACCGCTTCCGTCGAGAGGTCATCAGGTATAGTTGTGTCTCGTAGCATCTCTCCGGCTCGTTCACTTACTATCCTCATTTGTCCGCTGATTGACTTGACTTGAATCATCGTTCCCGCAGTTTCTCGCTGGAGTGAGGGGTGATGTAGCTGATGCAAGCCCGGATAGCAAGCGCAAGCGTCGCTGGAGCCTCCTGCTTTCCAGCTCTATTGAGAATCCTTGTCTCTCATCACCACCACAGACTTCCAGTGCATATTTCTCTCATCACTACTCATGCCGCTCGACGGCCGCAACCCATGAGCCTACTGCTTTCCAGCTCTATCGAGATCCTTTTGCGCTCATTACCAGTGCCGACGCTCAGCTGCCGCGAATTGCGACCCTCCTGCTTCCCAGCTCTACCGAGAACTTGTTTCTCTCATCACCACTGCAGAAGCTCGGCACCTTGTTTCAGCTGTCGCAAATCAGGACCTGCTGCTTTCTAGCTCCATCGAGAATCCCTTGCTCTTATCACTACCACAGCCGTCCACCTGCCGCGACTCACGAGCGTCACACTTTCCAACTCCGTCGAGAATCATTTCTCTCATCAAGACTGCAAACACTCAGCTGCTGGCGCCATATTGCGGTCGTGGAGTTGGATTCAGGAGATGGAGGGAGGTCAGGGCCCACAACAGCTGAGAGGTAGAGTGGACGCTTGAGAGATGGAGTGATCACCTCTCTCACGCCGGTCTAGCCTACTGCTTTCTAGCCCCATCGAGAACCCGATATGCCGTCTTCCACCCCTGCAGCCGCTCAGCTAGAGACTCCATATTGTGGTCATGGAGTCGAAGCCAGGCGACGGAGTGGAGATCAGGCTTATCGACAGCTAAGAAGTGGAGTGGTGAGCCTACTGCTTTGCAGGCGGAACAAGAACACTTCATGCCGTTTTTCAGTCCAGCAGCCGCTCAGCTGTAGACGCCATACAACAGTCGTGGAGTCGACGTGAGGAGGTGGAGTAGTGGTCAGGCTTATCGACAGCTAAGAGGTGGAGTAGTGGGCCTTTGTGGGCAAGCCCACCGGTGGTCTTGCTGGAGCTCACAATGTTGAATTGCAAGCTCTGAACTATGGTGTGAGAAAGGACGGTGACCTGGCAAATGCTGGTGCTATGCTCGGCGACCTATCGGTGAACGACTTCCAACGCCAACCATACTACCAGGTTGCATATCTGAAGGAGCAGGACCCTATACCCGCCAGAAATACCGCCGTCATCAGCGGAACCGCAGGTTCTGCTGTAGTTGGCTGCATCAGCGAGCCTCCCATCTATCTTGACAGAGAATGAATTGTGTCATTCACTCATAGCATAATCGCAGAGCACCTTGAACAGTCGGTGAACAGAAATTGTCGCGCAGTGCTACTTTCAGTAGGCATATCCAAGTGTCGTCTTGTGATCAAATATCTGAAAAAAACCGCAAGTGTACATAATACCAATCAACAGGCACGTTATCTTCTAGATGGGTGAGGTTCAGGCATAGCCTAAGAGTCCGGCCGAGGCCGACGAAGAAGGTGAAGAGAACCACATGCATAGTCTTCCGCGGTTCGACACAGGTAGACTCGAGCTTTCGCATCCTGTTGAGTGAATACTCACCTAGCATAACGCCAAACTCCTTGGTCTGTCCACCCAACTTGCCGTGCAGGGCGCCAGCACAGAGAAGCCCTCGACACCTCTTTAACCGCAAGTGTACATAATACCAATCAACAGGCACGTTATCTTCTAGATGGGTGAGGTTCAGGCATAGCCTAAGAGTCCGGCCGAGGCCGACGAAGAAGGTGAAGAGAACCACATGCATAGTCTTCCGCGGTTCGACACAGGTAGACTCGAGCTTTCGCATCCTGTTGAGTGAATACTCACCCAGCATAACGCCAAACTCCTTGGTCTGTCCACCCAACTTGCCGTGCAGGGCGCCAGCACAGAGAAGCCCTCGACACCTCTTTGGGCAACGCCCCACGTTTCGCCAGAAAACACACCTCCACAAACTCTCACGGCTCAAGGCCCCCAAAAGCAGCCAACGACACCCAGGGCATGAAAGAGAAGACGCGAAAGAACTTCGGCATCGAAGACGTCGGGTGTTCCAAAGAACCGGGTTGCAAAAGGCCGGCTCACACAGCATCCCATCCCTAGGCAAGAGGTGGGATGTTCACCTCTCTCATAACGAGTATTTACGAGCCTGCTGCTTGCCAACCCCATCGAGAGAGATTGCTGAGGAGCTGTAGGGTGTTCAAAATCCATAAGCCCGGTTGCAAAGGTGGATTTATACAGTATCCCACCTACAGGCAAGAGGTGGGATGTTCACCTCTCTCTTAACGAGTATTTACGAGCCTGCTGCTTGCCAACCCCATCGAGAGAGATTGCTGAAGAGCTGTAGGGTGTTCAAAATCCATAAGCCCGGTTGCAAAGGCGGATTTATACAGTATCCTATAGACAGGTGAGAGGTGGTGTATTCACCTCTCTTACGCCAGAGACTCACGAGCCTTCTGCTTGCCAGCCCCATCGAGAGAGATGGCTACAGAGCGTCGGCATCGAAGACGTGGGGTGTTCAAAATCCATAAGCCTGGTTGGGAAAGGCGGACTTATACAGTATCCCATCCACTGCTGATAGGTGGAGTTTTTATCTCGGTCACATTCACCAGCCCTCATGGACGTTCAGGCTACCGAGGTAGTAGGCTCATCATCGAACCCACAACTTGATAACTTCAATGGGGAGAAGGGGGAGTGGACACCTCGAATGAGTGGAGTGGTTACCTCTGCTATACTGGACATTCACGAGCCTGCTGCTTTCCAGCCCCATCGAGAAGCCTTCATGTCGCTTCTAGTCACTGAGGTGGCAGGCTCAACGTCGCAACCTCAACTTGACGAGGTGGACGAAGAGGGGATGTTCGAGCCGGCTCAAGACCTTGGGCATGGAAGAAACAGTGTTCCAAATCAATGAACCCGGTTGCAAAAGGCGGACTTATACAGTAAGCCATCCACTGCTGAGAGGTGAAGTGTTCACTTCTCTCACATTCACAGGCCTGTGACTTTCCAGCCCCATCGAGAAGCCTTCATGTTGCTTGTAGCCACTGAAGTGGCAGGCTCAACGTCGCAACCTCAACTTGACGAGGTGGACGAAGAGGAGACGTTCGAGCCGGCTCAAGACCTTGGCATGGAAGATATGGTGTTCCAAATCAATGAATCCGGTTGCAAAAGGCGGACGTATACAGTATCACATCGACAGCTGAGAGGTGGAGCAGACAGCTCGCTCACACCTAAGCACCTAAAGCCGCTCAGCTGCAAACACAATACTGCGGTCGCAGAGTCGAGGCACAAGGCTTATAGACACCCCTGTCGCGCCTGAGCTACTGCATTCGGTCACCCTCTGCCTGATCCGACCTGGGTGTTAAGGAGCGAGCACGATCCAACAGAACTCCTGGCCATCCGACCCAGGCGTCAAGGAGCGAGCACGATCCAACAGAACGTCTGTCCGAGAGCGAGCATAATCCAACGGAATTTCAAAGCGAGCGTGATGAAATCGAATTTCACTCGGGTGTCAAGGAGTAAGGATGATCCAACCGAACTTCTGAGCGAGCATGATCCAACCGATGTTCACCCAGGTATCAAGGAGCGAGTACGATCCAACGGAACTTGTAACCGCCCTGGGTATCAAGGAGCGAACACGATCCAACGGAACTTCTGTCCGCCCTGAGTGTCAAGGAGCGAACACGATCCAACGGAACTTCTGTCCGCCCTGAGTGTCAAGGAGCGAACACGATCCAACGGAACTTCTGTCCGCTCCGAGTGTCAAGCAGCGAGCAAGACCCTTCGGAGAGACTTATGCCTATGATGGGTCTGCCAAACACTCGACGACAGCCGCGGCGAGTGGACACATCGCTCACCTCTCTTGCACCTGAGCCACTACAGCCGCTCCACTTCAGACAGCATATTCTGGTCGCGGAGTCGAAGTGAAAGGGTCATAGACACGCCTTACACACCTGAGAGTCGCAAGCCGGGCCAAGCAGTCGCGAAACAAAGTGCTCTCCGAGACACTCAACGTCGCGGAGACACCTCCCTCACCTCTCTTGCGCCTGGAACACTTCAGCCGCTCCGCTGCTGGCACCAATTTCTGGTCGCGGGGTCGAAGTCAATGACTTATGGATACGCCTCACACACCTGAGCTACTGCAGGTTCATGGACAGCTCTCTCACATTTCAGTAGTGGTGCGATTGGGTCTTCGAAGGCCGAACAGATCGCTGCTGCGGAGCTGAAGCAGGTTCATGGACAGCTCTCTTACATTTCAGTAGCGGTGCGATTGGGTCTTCGAAGGCCGATGCTGCGGAGCTGAGGAATCCCAAGCATAAGAAACGGCATAAATGGTTCTCGAGGCTCTAAAACTCTCGAGCAGTTTAAGAAAGCCGATAAAGGTGAAGACAATATGTCGCCTTCCTGCGCCAATCTTCGGTATGTGAATTTTAGAGGCTTCGCAGATGGTTTTGACGAAGTTCTGAAGCTTTTCTATGAACCAGTTCGCGACACTATAGATGATTGACAAGGGAAAGAGCTTCAAGAGATGGGAACGAGTGAATCCATCCGCGATGTAATGTGTCAATTTGCGGGTTCCCGTTTCCCGTAATGTGCAACATCTTCTTGCTTGACCAGTTTGCACTCCTTTCGGATTCTGTAGCACCACAACTGTGCCAGCGAACCGTGAGAGGAACAACGCCGCATAAAGCCTTCTATCCTGATACGCATCGAAGCCGATGCTCTCGATCTAGCTTCCTGGCCTGGCGACCAAATACTGCACTACTGCACCGCGACATGATGGGCCACTCCGAAGAGAGAGACAAGAGAAGCACAGTGATCTGGAAAGATTTCGCCTTGAGTCTGGGGAGGAAGTCTGCTACAGCATCGCTCGCCAAGTTCGTAGAGGTGCAATACCGTCTATCAGTGCTGGTGACTTAGGAGCTCTTGTACCACGACCTAGTCTCGCCTCGTGTTGGAACGCCGATGGGTATTTGTGGTGTAGCAGACCGTCCCACTCTGCGCGGGAGAGTATGTCAAAAGCGAGAGCAAGATCCGCCAGGCGATGGCGCAATGGACGATGCGCCCTAACAAGCTAGGTAATTGGATCCATCCTACGCATATGCGGTAACCGGTGGCTCAGAAGCTTTTAGCACAAGGTCTTGCTTATGTTTGCGAGCTCGATTGCGTGTCAGGTGGCCCTTCATGGCTAACTTCGCGGAAATGGTCGTCCAGAAATGGTCGGAAAGGCGTGAGAATGTAGCTGTGAAGATTTGTTGTCACCAGTTCAAAATCCAGCGGGCCGAGCTTGATTCGGCATGATGCTTGAATTGGCTGAAGGACATGCCATTCGAAACGAGAGGTCCGTTCTTCGAACGATCCGTGAGTCGCAAGAGGAATGCGAAATCCAGTTTGCTAACTGGGCACCGCCCCTTCAGACCCTCTGCAATGTTTGTGGATCCTTCGCATCGAGGAGCATTTGGTCACGTCTTCAACGACTTGACTGCTGATTCAGAAGGAGGCATAACGAGAACGAGGGCCTTGCCATGGTATTTGTCGATAATGATGATGCGTGAATATGATGGTCTATTCTCCTATCACTTCCTCTTCCTGCCTGCTATATCCTACTGATTGAACCCCTCTATATCGCAAATGCCATTTTTCACCCGCCTTTTCGTCAACGCGGCGAAGAACATAACCAGTCTTTCTATGGCAACCCCAATCCTAGTCGCCATCGTGGGCGTGCAGATGATGCAGTCGTGGGCGTCGGCGCCATGGTCGATCGTGAAGCCGGCAGAGATGAAGTTCAGGCCGTTGTGAGGTTCATGCAGGTGTTGGACTCGGCTCTCAATGTCATCGCGAGGTATTGCGAGAAGGCGGGAGTAGACGAGGTGTTGCATACGGCGGCATTGCAGTGCGTGAGTCTGAAGTTGCTCGCATCCACGTCGCCGAGCTTAGGCATACACATGTCGTCGGCCAGCATCTTGAACTTCTTCGTGTGGTTGGATTTGAGGTTGCTCGTGGGCTTGTGCCTGGACACGACGTCATCATCGCCCTTGGTTGCGGGTGGCATAAGCACAGGCCCAGTCGATCACGCTCATGATGTGGATGAACTTGATGCTGCTGCAGTACTCGAAAAGCCAGCCAAATCGCCATCACTATCCCGAATCTGGTCGTGTTCATCATCAGTATGCAGATGCATCACTCATTCGTTTGGTACATCAACAGAATGAAGAACGACGAGTTGCTCGACACTTTGATCAGCCACAAGATCGAGGACAGCAGCACGGGCGTGACTAGGGTTCTACATTTACATGTAAGTCTTACAAAACCTAATGTAAGGCAGGGGTTTGAGCTTTGTATGGCCTTACATTTTGTATGTTGGACTATTATCTGCACCGGAAGGGCTTATATGTCTCTCTTACCTTACGGAATAGATTCTGTAGGTCTCGCTAAAGAGGTATAGGTAGCTTAAAGGCTCCTACCTGCTGTCTTAACAGATTTGCAGCTATAGAAGCTTATTTAGACCATATTGACTGCCAAGGCTTCTAGAAGGTATCCTAAGCAGGGGACTATCAAAGTCCAGACAGTAATAGTATTCAGTCTATTATAGTTCTTTAGGGACTGTTAAGATCTAAGAGAGTGTTAATGAACTATTTCAAACAGTTAGCAAGGACTTTCCTTCATAATAGGCGGAATAGCTAGACATCACCCGAAATCACTAGTCTTACATCCTTACATGCCATTTTACATGGTTTTGTAAGCTTACACAGCATTTCTTGGCCTTACATGGTATGTAAGGTTTCGAATGTCGAACCCTAGGCGTGACTGAGCTCCTAGGCGAGGATGAGGGCGAGGTCAACATCGTAGGCACGAACAAGGATACGGAGCTGATGGAGATAGTGCGCTGGGTAAAGATGGTAATGAATAGCATGGACAAGAAGACGAACAAGGTGGAAGCGTCGATGCTGAAGAGCGAGTCAATGAAGCGCGGGTACAGAGAGACACGTTCAAAATGGCGAAACCGGATGCGTACAGGCGCACGACTTCGCCAGTGTTCAGATCAGAGGCGTCCGTAATTAAGGACGACGGCATGAAGTCGTTTACCAGCGTGAGCGGCACCAGGAGCGAGATTGCGACCCCGGCCAGCACCAGACCGCAGACCAGCTACATGCACGGGTTCATTGTCGTTTCCGGCAGTAACTCTAGGTCCGCCATCGCCAGCAAGGGCTACAACTCGAAGGTGGAGCTGTGCGGCATCGAGTTCGCCTCTATGATCTACGCCTACGTGAAGAAGTACATGAATTTCATGGCAGAGGCCGGCCACATCGTCAACCTGATAGAAGAATGGTCACCTAGGCTTACAAACGCAAACAACAAGAATGGAAATCGAATGACTTACGACGCAACGAAAAAAAAGAATAGCTACATCATGGCCCGCGACAACGAATGGCAGAAATTGTCACGAAGAGAAAGCAGAGTGGAAGAACTGTGCGCTGGAAGAGACATCTTCAGCATGAACTTGGCGTTGTGCAAAGCCATCTCATTGGGTTCGATGACGGTCATGAACTTGGGCTACAGACGAACGGAGAAAGCTTGTAGAAGTAACTCGCGGCCGGGACAGTGCCAACAAAACAGCTCAGCTTGCCGCTCAGCGTGTGACTTGGGCAGACGCCAACAACACTTCACTTTGAGCAGAACGGACACAGCTCAAAGCTGCCCTCACAGATGGAAATAAACGCCTGCTGGCGTACCTGAGAGAGCAGAATTCGAGCGACTGCGAGTCCTTATGGAACAATTCAAGATCGACAAAAACAAAGCCGAGAAACGCACCGAAGCGACCAAGACAGATCTTGAATGGACCCGTACAGTCAGCAGATTGCCGAAAGTGAGAAAGACCGCTCGTCAGCCTCACGAAGTCCAAATACGAGGTTTACGTTTTGACATGTACGACAGCGAGCCGGGCCAAGCAGTCGCGAAGCATAGTGCTCTCCGAGGCACTCGAGGTCGCATTTAGCTTTTCCCACCAATCCCATGGGTTCCCTTGGTTCATACCTCAAGTCCTGCCCGCCTTTGAGGCTTACGTTTCGATATGTACTGCAGCAAACCGGGCCAAGCAGTCGAGAACCAGAATCCTCCCCAAGATCGTATCCGGAAGCAGCGCGAGCTTTTTCCACCAAAATACATCAAGCTGCCTGATCTTGCGAAGAAATGCCTCGGATTGAATACCTTGGAAAAACACCTTTCTACGTGTGCACGCCGGGCCAAGCAGTCGCGAAACACAGTACTCTCCGAGACACTCAAGCTCGCATTCGCAAGAAGCTTGAGCGTTTCCTCCCGAAATGCATCAAGCTACCTGATCTTACGAAGAAAGGCTTTCGGAGTGAAACACCTTGGAGGGACACCTTTTCACGAGTGCAAGTGCCTTGTTGGCACCCATGTCGCGGACGATGGCCTCGAGCAGTTTCCACCAAAACACATCAAGCTGCTCGATCTTGGGATAGATGGGTTCGGGGATGGAGGAACACCTTTCTACGAGTGCAAGTGCATTGTCAGCACCGACGTCGCGGAAGGCATTCTCAAGCCTTTTCCACCAAAATACATCAGGGTACCTGATCTTGTGAACAAACGCTTCCAAGTGAAACACCCCCGAGGCACACCTTTCCAGGAGTGCAAGTGCATTGTTGGCACCCACGTCGCGGAAGGCAGTCTGAAGCTGCGCGTGAAAGTGCTGGCACCGGATGAAGATCCCACGCACGTTGAGAGCTCTCGCGATGTCGTGTATCACAGCTATAGACTCGCATTCCTATCACGCAGGTGTCCTACGTGGGATTCGTAGAGAACGAAATTCTCCAATAAGGGAAAAGGGCAAAACTTCTCTTGATTTCGAATTTCAATGTCAATCAAAACCTTCGTGGGCTGATTGGAGTCTGGCACCAGCTCCTGCACTATCCTTCCGGCCTCTGTGAGCTCTATACGCGGGTGCGTGTACTTCTTGATGGCCGTGGTCGTGGTGATGTACACGAAGACGACCTTCTGTGTGAACAGGCTCTGCTCTGCGTTATCGTTCATCTCTGCATTGACCACCAGGGTGATGGACGAATTCTTGTACACCTCCTCCGTCATGTCTATCATCGCGTGCTGGGTGCTGTTCCTACACAGGACGGTGTTCGTCAGGCCGATTGGACTCACTTTGGTGACTGCCGCTTGCTCCTTGTCTAGGGACAGATGTGTGTACATGATCACGTTGCTGTATGTAGTCGTGTTCACGAACAAGATACGAAAGGGAACCATAACGAGGCACGAGTGCCTGATCGACACGATCATGCGAGCAGAGGGTGGTTCGAGAAGGCGAGGTAGCTGAGCAGAGGGTAGCTCAGCACCAGGAATGTCGAGCGCAAGTCGAGATCGTTGAGCGCAGGATATATCGGGCGTAAGGTCGAGGTGGCACTGCACCAGGTGTCGCGCGGAGGTCAAGATAGCTCAGCACCAGGTGTCGCGGCTCAGCACCAGGTATCGTGCGCAGGTCGAGGGGCTCAGCACCAGGTGTGTCGAGCGCGCGGAGCTCGTCCCAGTCTGGCGGGCCTTTGATACTAGGATAATGGGTGGGTGGGATAGCGTCGTGCTCGATTCGCTGGAAAGCTTCGCCGTATTGATATCCCCGAGGGCAGGTACGGCAGACTGAAGACGATCGCGTTTGTATACAAGCGATTAGTCGGGCTCTTTTATTTCAGATCCAAATACAGTGTCAAGTCAAGAAGAATGTCGGGAATAATGCCGATAATACTGGTGCTGAGGATGATCTCTTCGAGTAGTTCTAGCGTAGGAAATCTTAGCACTCAGCAATGTACTCACGAGCCACGTGCTAAGGCCGTGCGGGACAGACATGGGGTTTCTTTCCTTTGTCACGCGTCTTGAGCGGCATGTTCTTAGGTATAGTTGGTCGCATTAGTCCCCTCGAGATTTTCATCGTGATAGAGTTAGATGAATCCCGTAGCTAGCCGACGGTGAGGCCGTCTGCCTTGCGTATCTTTGGATGTTTGATCCATTCTATTGGGTGAAAACGGATCTCATTTTGCATTATACGCAAGCCGCGTGGGAGATCCTTGTGAGCTCGTGACGGAACTCTTTTGCATCTGATGTCGCCTGGAGGCCGAATTTCCACAGCGATGCAGAAATATGCTCGACACCGGGAGCCTCACTTGATGGCGAGATGGAAGCAATAAGCCAGATTCCCACGATTGATCATGCAGGGTCGACTCGCTCGAGAGCTTGTGCCAGCGATGGCGGAGCCCGTTACCTCGCTTCATCCGTGACTTGGTTTCAGCGTGAGTAACATACCGTGTTACGCCGATACCTCAAGCAAAGGTAGAGCTGATCACGGACGAGGTGAATCCAGTCGGCACCGTCTGCCATTGTGAGAATTGTGGCAGCAGGATGGTAGATGAAGATGGGAATTTCATGAGCGTTGTGCGGAGCGCTTAGCTTGCGCGGGGTGTGGTGGAGGCGTGGGCTCTGCAGCAGCATCCCATGAGGTGCTTTCGACGGATCTCACGATCAAAATGCCAATGGCTCGGCTTTTGCGAAGCGTAGTATTGCTGAGGTATGATGGTTGGGTGCAAAAGCAGCTGCCTCATACTGGCTTTGATGTCAAACCCTCACTCAATCGACTTCATCCAACCAGTCCTTCTCGCCGCCTCGCACAGCCTCTCATTGCTTGCATGCATGAACGCGATTCCATCGTTACTGTCGTCGACAGCACTGATGGTATTGAGCTCATCGATCTAGTCGCTTGTAGCTGGGCGGTTGAGTGGTGCAAGCTGGAAAATGGGCATGCTTGGGGTATGTCGTCAATACTTGAGTGCATTCGCGAACACAGAGATGCGCATCATTCAGCATCTTGTAGGCTTGGCACAACAAACTTCGTATCAAAGCTGGTGTCAGACATATCGAATGTGCCGTCTCTAAACATCAAGCTATGGAGGTTGGCGTTCTGCTCTTTGGTAGGCCAGTGGTTGGTCCTATGGATGTCCTCTAGGGTGCGCTAGAAGGCTTTGTAAGTGGTTTCCGCCTTGCAGCATTCTGAATAGAGAGATTGTTGGTGTTTCACACTAGCGACCGGTGCCTGTAGTTCATCGTAGGCCGGAGGCTTGAGCTTCTTGTTGACCTGCCCAGACGAGTTGAAGCAGAGTCGGTCGCGGTCGTGTTTGGTGTTCGCGCGAGCGAGGAAATCTTTCTACTTGTTGTGTTCTGGTAGGCCGTTGTCGACCCCGATTGTGAAGCCGATAGCTCGAGCGGCGATAATGACGGCGAACAAGAGGGAGAGGAGGACGAACACGACTCCAATGTATGTCAGCGATAGCAAGCTGCTTTACAGTAAGCAAGCAGTTCTTGAAGAAGACTTGGCGAATGGAGATGCTGCTATGTCGAGCTGTGAGCCTCACTCTAATGATGATGATGAGGAGCTTTGAGGCCTGAGAATGCCATCTCCGGGAGTATGAGGAGGTTGAGGGTGTTGCGCATATTGAGAGGATGGTATTAGCGTGGGATATGTTTTGGTTGACCTCGCCGAAAGTCTTATTGAACTAGAGGATAGCGATCTTTATAATGGGAGTTGGAAGTTCTTAGGAGATGTTGTTACCCAATAAGCGATCTGAGCAGGCCGGCAGGAGGCACATAAGCCGGACCATTCAAGAGGCTACTGTCGTCTCCAAACTTGGCCCAATACTCGCGGCTTTTGGCATGTTCGATGTTCTCCGCATTATGCTTAGGCAAACCCAGAATGTTCTCCATAAACAACTAGCGCTGCCTTCGGTGGCAGCGTGTGCCAGCTCTCGCTTCTTTTCTTGAAGATCGAGGATGCGTTCCTCGACGGTATGTATTCCTTGACGGTCTCGCGAATAGTGAATCGGAACACTTTGACATAAACCGTTTCGTTGAGATGGTAGACGTATTCGGTAGCTTGTTCTTCGTCGAAGGAATTTCAGAGGGGTTCGACTGTGACGACTCCGCTAGCTGCTGTCGGGTTGAGGCGTGCGAATAGTGAGGCGGAAGACTTTGACATCGACTTCTTAGAAGGGATGATAGACGTGGTCGATGGGAAAGGATGTCAGAAGGGTTCAAGGATAACAATTCTGCTGGCTGCTGTCAGGTTGAGGCTGCTGACCATAGCTTGTACCGATAAGCGTCAAACAGCAATCTTCGCTATAGGAGTGATCAGCTCAACTAGTATTCGCCGCAAAGCTGTCACTGCTGATGAACAGCTTGAGCTCCACAATCTGGGCTGCCTAGAACGCCATGCTTACTTTGCCAATTCGGCCCATAATCTGATGGCTAGCTTCAAGAAATCGCGTTTTATCGCGAGGCCTCGCGTACATTGAATGGAATGTTCGTCAACTTGACTCGGGTGAAGTCCAGTGCCTTTCATCGCAACAAAGACGATAGGGATAGGATCTTTGGCATGGCGGACAAGCTCGTTATATAGAATCTGGTGGATCCAGTGAGTAGTAGCAATAAGGGTAGCCTGTGGCTGGATATCCGCCGAGTGGAAGCCAATATGTTCTACGATGAGGAGGAAAATCCGAATACTATCCACAGCTAACGTGCGAGCGGCATAGGATCAAACATCGATAGGGCTGAGCTCAACTCCGCTGATGCTGCACAGCGTGCTGCTAGTTCTGGAGATGGAGGCGCTCTTGACGATATATATATAAGTGGAGATGGTGATGCTTGGGCGCATCTCGGTCAAGGCCAGATCCGCGCTGCTTGGGAAGAGGCTGGAATTGGGGATGATAGCGGGATTGGTAAAGGTGTTGGTGGAGCTGCCGGCTTCGACTCGAGAGAGTTCTAATCCATGCGCTAGGATGAATGAACCGAGGTGTGTGTGAGAACAAGGAGCATGTGTTTGTAGCATTGGACTTCTGATGCTACTTCCATCTATTTCATAACGCCCTCTCCAACTCTTGCTACGTCTCTTTCTGTTATGCCTGTCGGGCATCGTGAAATATCGCTGCTGCTGTTTCCGGTGTCATCGTTGGTGTCGTCGCTTTCGTACTGTCGGGCTAGGCTATGAAGTTCCGTTAAAGGAATGAAATCGCGAAGTCCAACATCGTTTTCTGGGACGATATGGAAGATGGGTTTCTTGTCTGATATGGCATGTGAGTGATACCGCTAGGTGCTGACATGGGACAGATTGACTTGGCCGCTGAGAAGTTGTCGCGGCGCAAGATCAGGCATTGTCGGGAAGCGTAAACTCCCAGATTTTGTCAGCCAGACACTGCTATTGGCGGGACTAGCGAGCCAATGGACTCGCAAGTTCTTTCCTTCACGCATCCGCCAACCTAGTCATCCCCGAACAACACATGCAACAAGAATAATTCTGGATACCACACGATGCACCATCTCAGCACCAAGTGGAGTGTTCTGGAAGCACCCCCACAATACCGGAAAGGGTGAAGAAGTAGCCAGGGTAACAAGGACTGGGACGATGCGACAGCAACTTGAACGATGAAGACATATTATGGCATCGGCATCCGCAGGCGCGTAGATATGAGGTCTTTCACCACTGCAGAGCACCCAACCATCTATGCTAGACGCACCACGTAGCCCACCATCTGATCGTGCGCCCTTCACGACTGAACACGCGACTTTCACGACTCAAGATGCGCCGACAAGACGAAACAAGATACAAAGAGTAATGGTCAAAAAGGAGGACGACGGCACAGCAAAAGGCGAAACTGTGAACGGGCGGCACTCGGAGTCACTCTGGCGAGCACGATACGGCCACCGAGCTTTTTCAAGACACGTCACGATCCGACTAAGCGAACACGCCCACCAGACTTTGACCTCGCACGCTTTACATGGAATGGCAGCCAGAGAGAACCAGACAAGCCCAGTTTTGGAGATCATCAACGGCTGCCGAGTCGAGACAATATGCTGTCGCTTCCACAGGCTTTATGGAACTAGGGCCGAGGCGCAAGTCATAGGGTGCTCAGGCGCCCTTCTGCGTTTCTGACTACAACAATGCCCTACCGACATCCCCTTCGTCCTCGGCTACGCGCTTGATGCTGCCCATGAGCTCTTGGACCTTGCCGGAAGGCGAATGGATCCTTACCAAAGCCACTGCTGTGATTGCTGGCCTAGCTCGGACTTCTCTTGCGAATTCCAGTCCCGGAAATATGCTTGCCCTTCGCTGCAGCATTTCTTAGTCGCCCACTGCAAGACACGAGTGCTTGAGAGTCGCGGCGAGAAATACAGCTGAGCATGTCTTCCTCATCTTGTGCACCTTCGATACCGGGTGGCATGTCTTCATTTGCAGCGACGGCAGCGGCAGCAGCGGCAGCAGCACGAGTCTCGCCTGTCGCTCTGTGCTTCAACTCTCTCTGCCGAACGAGTTCTGTCGCGATTGACTCTTGGTTCGACAAACTTCTTCCTGGTCTCCGCCATTATCCTTCTTAGCTGCGTCCCTGTTGAACTCGGCAGGGGAATCAGCAACACTCTGGCACACCTGCTGAGTACCATTCTCAAGCATAGCAACGAGCTCGTCAACTACATCCCGTCGATCCCAATTCCTTAGCAACAATGCCCTAATGTGGACCTTCGCATTTGGTATTTAGGTCGAGACCCTACCTGCTTGCGTCTGTACTTCGGCGTCTCCAACCTCGGACAACGTGCTAGCAATGTTGTCCTCCGAATGATCTCTCCTCTTGGCCAGGGTGTACACGTCGGACAGCTGCCCCTGCAGAGCTCGGAACATGAAGAACACCGGTGGCACGCCAAACGCCCGTTTGGAATCAGCGAAGGTCTTGTTGGCATGTGAGGTGCGCCACTTCTTCATGTATACGAGACCACACGAAGCATAACAGCTACACGAAGCATGACAACCACACGAAGCATAACAGCCACAAGAAGCATGACAGCCGGTTCTTGATACAGCATGTAGTTTCTTCGCCTTCGGAGCCATTAGCAGGATCTTGAATACGCTAGGGTTGCAGATGTTGCAGCACTACTCTTTGGTCGCGTAGCCTTCAGCTAGGTAGACGCTCTCCAACTCTTCGAGGAGGGTGTTTATAACTGCTCGGCAGCATGGGCTATTGTCGCAACGCAGATGACCGTTGTATATGACTATATTTTCTTTCCCGCAGCTGATTACATTCTTCGCCCAATGCTCAGACCTCTTCTTACCCTTCTCGACCTTCTTAGCTGCTGCTGCAGCGGCTGCTCCATCATCTTGGCTATTCTTACGATGTTCCCCAAACTCGCGTTGTCTAGCAGTATTGATATCAGCATCCCCAACATCAGATGCTTCTTCGGAGCCGACACTAGAAGCGGCAGACTCGACATTATCCCAATCGCTGATGCCGCCAGCCTCTTCACTAGTTATCTCCCCACTGAAGCTGCTTGGACTGGCAACGGCACGGCGGTGACGAAGACCTGCATGCTTGCGTCGCGGATCGATCACTCCAATAGTGTTTTCAACCACCCAGTTGACATATTCCACCTTGTTGACATGGTCTCATCGGACATCACAGCCATGGCAGCAAGGTAGATAGTGTCACGTCGCAAGTTGGCACGTATCTGGCGCATCTGGATGTGCTCTGATCGAAACTCCTCTCCCTACTTCTGGACCGAGTGCGCCTCGTCGACAACGATAGCACCAACACAAGCGCGGACTTTCGGATCGCGTGGAAGCTTCTTGAATCCAGGAGATCAAGCTTGGCTTGACCGACTGCACCGAAGCAGCCAGCTGAAAACCGAGCGCGTGCTGAAAATCGAGAACGTACTCCGCGCACTCAGTCACGCAGTCGCACATACGAAGCACCTTAATCGGCCGAAGCAAGACAGCGAGCTCAAAGTCCTAGGCGTAAGCCTGCTCAAAATCGAGAGTCTGCTCTACGTACCTAGTCGCGCAGTAGCACATATGAAATCGCCCGGCCAGCCCGGACAAGCGAGCTGAAAGTTGAGAGCCTGCTCTGCGCACCCAGTCACATAGCCGATTGTCTCCTTCGTCTGCATCGTACCAGCTTTGTCAAAACCTTGGCTCGCCAATTCGCAGCGACGTTCGCAGTAGCGCCCGAGCATCTGTAAAAGTGCGGCTTCCTTCCTGAGAGTCGCAGCACCATCAGGAGTCGGAGCACTCTAAATAGTCGAAGCGCTCTCCAAAATCCAGCATTCTCACTATTTACAACCCTCACAAGATCTTAAGCGCTGTCAAGATTTTGACTCGCCCGGAGGCACTACGTTCGCTGATCATTGCACAACATTTGGAGTGCGAAATGAAATTCCTTGAAGCCCGCTCTTCGGGACCTGGAACGCCCAACTTCCTGATGTTAACATACATAGCGGACGCTTTCTATACCATCTGCTTTCGCTTGGCAGTCGATTGGATTCCTGGACAGTGCGGAGCCCTCGCAAGCAGCTAGTACAATACAGCGCGAGACACCAATTTGCTCATGAAATGGTGCTGTTCACGCCTGTTACGCCATTCGCCCCCAAGCAAGTCATCGTATTGTCTACGAACGTAATCACCATTTCGTTGTCAGACTCAAGTCAAGGCGCCGATGCCGAGCGCGAAGTGGTAGTGGTAGCTGTTGCGAATCTTCTGGAGTATTTTCGAATCTACCTTCTCTACGCCTGCATCGATGTTGCATGCTCGAAAAATGCCAGTGTTGGATCGATGTTGCATGCTCGAAGAATGCCAGTGTTGGAATCGCCTTGCATATTCATACGGTTGATGTCTACAGTCTACTTAACACCGAGCCGGTTGAGAGGCACGATCTGGATAGTCAAAAGACACGTCATTATCGAGAAAGCATAGAACCTAAGACTCTCAGTACGGGCAATCTGAGGGACATCGGACTGCCCAAAGATCAAGGTATTGACTATATCGGTCTATGACTTGCGAGCATCATAATCAGGACCTAGGTAAAGAGGTTTGAGGCATCACCAAGGCAACACCAATGCCGGAGAAGACATTCCGAGCAGGGCAGTATTACCGAACACACTACAGGAATTCATGCTTCAAGATCAGAGAGAGCAATCGAAGCATACACCATCGTGGAACACAGTACGTACATCAAGATCCGCACAGCACTCCGTTCAGTATCCAGCAATGCGATACGAAGCGTCTCTCCTTGCGGCAAGTGGCATCATCGGCATGGAATCCAATAGCCTGGCGGCACGGAAGCAGATGAGATTGGTACTTCCGTGGCGATTCATCTGTGCAGTCCATATCATAGCAGCGGTCGCGAATCAAGCAGGTCGTGAGGCAGGTCAAATGGCAGGTCAAGAGGCAGGTCATGGAGCAGGTCATAAAGCAGGCTGTGAAGTAAGTCATGAAGCAGGTCGTCATGTCATTGGACACGTCATGAAGCCGGTCATCAGGTCATTGGACAGGTCATGGGGCAGGTCGTGAACCAGATCATGAACCAGGTAATCAGATCATGAGACAGGTCATAAGGCAGGTTATGCCACCACCATCAACCAGGTCATGAAGCAGGTCACGAAGCAGGTGGTCAGTTCATGGGACAGGCTATGCCACCCCCATCAACTAGGTCATGAAGCAGGTCACGAAGCAGGTGGTCAGTTCATAAGACAGGCGATGCCATCCCCATCAACCAGGTCATAAAGCAGGTCACGAAGGAGGTGGCCAGTTCATAAGACAGGCGATGCTATCCCCACCAACCAGGTCATGAAGCAGGTCACGAAGCAGGTGGTTAGTTCATGAGACAGGCTATGCCATTATGATAGCCATGAAGCAAGTTATGGAGCAGGTCGTGAAGCAAGCCGTGAAGCAGGTCATGAAGCAGGTTATAGAGCAGGCCGTGAAGCAGGTTATGAATCAGGTTATGAAGAGGTCATGAATCAGGTTATGAATCAGGTCATGAATCAGGTCATGAATCAGGCCAGGAAGCAGGTCATCGGGAGACAGGTTATGAGGCTGGTCATGCCATCACGATCAAGCAGGTTATGAAGCAGAGCAGGCTGAAGTGGGCACTTCAGCGCGTTCTTGCCAACAACGAGTTGGACATCGTTGCCAACGTTAGGAGGCCTACTGGCGTCATCATCCAGCTGGTGACAGTGCGATTTCCACTGCCGCTTGTCGAGTGGTAGTGGGATCTCTGCAGGACTAAATTCTGGACGGTCTCGGTGAAGACCTGCTTTGCAGCAGCGGCTCTCTGGTCCTTGTCATACTTGCACCGCTTCTTCCCAGACAACCAAGCTCGCGGATCTGGTGCATAGGTGGGCCCTGCTTGTGCGAGGTAGACGGTTATCCTGCCTCGTATACAATGCTGGGTTGCGTGCCTGTATTGCCTGGTAATGGATCATGATCGGGATTGCCAACGCGGCAGTCAACACTACCACTACCTCTACCTCCACGCCTACGCATACGACGTCGAGAAGGAGGACATTCTACATCACGGCCAGACTGTATGAAGCCTCCGCTCATAAGCCGAGGAGGTTCTGCAGTTGCCATGCGTACAACGCGACCGAACGCAGCATCATCATCATCAAAAGCGGCATCATCGTCGGAAGCAGCATCCTCATCATCGAAAGCGGCATCATCATTATCGAAAGCGGGCCCATCATCGAAAACGCATCATCATCGGCCTCGTATCCATCAGACTGCGCTGGCTCATGAACCCTGTGAGGCTCTGTATACTCTTCTTCCTCCTCTTCTATCGATTCACACGACATACCATCGAGTCGAGCTTTCTGGTGACGCGGGCGGCGCTTGACGGGCGGCGATCGGTGCGTGGACTACGCATAATGTTCTTCTCGCTGGCGCCAGGATCTTGATGAGCATATCAAGCCTCGCGATCTGAATCTTGATGTCGTAGTTGACGTTTTGCGCTACAGCCGCGAGGCCAATTTCAACGTCCTCCTCATCTGGATCGATGCGCAGTACTGGATCGCCATCTGCGCGCCGCTTCAATTCCTTCGAAACTTCAAGCTACCGCTCTCCGATGGCCCACATCTGTCAACAGCAATTGCTCACCCATTTGCATTTGTCGCTTGCGTGAATACACGGCACGAGCGCAGAAGAAGAATCGAGCTTGAAGTACTGGACATTCTGGCATTAGACGATTGCATTTGGCGAGAAGAGAGTGCAGAGGGTACATACAAGTGGTTGGGTTGTACGGGACGGTCGCTGACAACGCAGTGTAGGACGTCTGGGGCATTCGGCAACTGTGAATCAGCTCGTGTCTACAAAGGTGACCGAGCTTGACGAATTTTGACTTCACTCGTGCCCAAGAAGCTGACCACAGCTTGCTTTGTGGTGACCACGCGCTCGCCCGCCAGTCTCATATACGTCTTACGCCGCCGGATCTTTTCCCGCGAGCCCCAACAGTATCTTCAATCCAAGCCCGTCGGCCGCATAAAGATTCGTTCTTCAGATGGCACAGGCTTTGATACACCGGAGTCGCTCTGCATCATTATCATAGTCCTATTGCTGAAATTTCCCCGAGTTCGCACACCGACGTACTTCCCATCCGCTTTTTGTATCCGGACGAATTGGTATAGGCTACCGGTAGCCTTCTCCAGTTCGCTTTCACCTAAAGAGACGAAAACGGGTCTCACGGCAGTAAAGTTACTGCATCGTCGTAGATGGGTAACAAGCACTTGTTCACGCCCATGCGAGAGATCCTGCAATTCACTCAGCTTAATACGCCCCACGATCTCCCCATCGATAGCGGACCGTGGTTCACCAAGCTCGGTCCCAACAAGATTCCTTTGGCGATCCGGTGTGGTTCGACAACAGCATCTGGGGAGTGGATCAGGACGAAAGACTTGACTCAGAATGGACTGCATATTGACTCGCTGCAGCATGTCCTATATATGCAGCTGCACCGATTCGCTTCTTCTAAACATCACACATGCGCGTGGCCCGGCGAGTATGACCGCTTAGTACCAGGTCAGTGATGCTGCCCATCTCCGTCAATGTCATTGCATTCTAACAAAGATTGGAGCTTGTGCCATTTCTCTGCCTTTCCGGTCTGTTCTACAAACCACACGTGGAGCCACACGGACCAAAGAACACCGTGCTCAACGCGCTCTCCAACCCAACTACATGCCGTACCTTGCCGTTGTCGAGGAGCACTTCGGCCGACAGCTCAGCGGCTATGGCAGAGCCTGGAGAGCCTTGGTGGCGCTGGAATCCTGGAGCGACGTACTTCCGCATACGGCACGACCAGCTGTCGCCGGCCTTTTGGTAGTTCCTCTCTCGAGAATGCTTGGCTAGAGAGATCCAATTCTCATGAAGCTTGACTAGATCTTCTCTTCTCTGCTCAACGACTGAGTGCAACAGTCGCTGGCTTCAAAGATGACGCCTACAGAGCTTGCTGTTCTACACTCACCAATTAGGCAGAAATTTACGATACCCGCACCGGCTCGTGATGCGTTGCAGCAGGAATGAATATCAACAACCAAACGCCAGTCCAGCGTATACGTCAAGAACTCATCGACGGCGTAGCTCGAGCTCAGATGAGGCATAAGGCGGAAGTTGTTCGGGGCATGGACCACAGACTACACAAAGAAGCCAGTGGTTGCCTATGGGGAGTTCGAGATCAAGAATATCACAGCAGCGGTGCTGGTTACCCAGCGTTCGGATGATGCAAGACACCTGGTGTCGAATGAATGAAGCAACACCTGGTGTCGGATGATGCAGAGCACCTGGTGTCCCAATGACTCCTCGCCCATCTGTCATGATGAGAGAACCCCGTTCAGGTCGATTCAGACGCTGCTGCATAGCACCGCAGGCCTCTCTCCATGCCACACACCGCGAAGTCAGGGCTCGAAGACATAGACAGGGACAAGAAAAGAAAATGCATAGGGACCAGCGCATTGATGGAATGTTTACCCCATCAAAGCCTTGGGCACAAATCAGCGATGCTGAGACTCAACCTCAAGAGAACTCGCAATCAGCCTCCATGTGCTGCGAGCAAGCGATCTCGCACCTGTAGGGCGAAGGCGGACTCAGCGTTCAACGGAAGGGCAGATGATGTCGAGTATCATCCCGAAGATGACACGATATCGGATGCAGAGCGGGATGAAGACATAATTGATGAGGAAGACGACGAGCGAGGGGATAGGCTGATTGCTTTCAAGTATTTTGTTCAAAAGCCGAGCCAAGACCGGAAATTACCACCGAGACCCCGCTGCCGAAAGCCACCACCAGCTTCAACTGTTGCTGCGCCTTCTCTTCTCTTCTCGCCTGCAAGCTCTTTCTACAAACCGCTGCCGGTCGGCGCCGCCGCAATGGACCATGAACGACTTCATCGCGACTTCATTGCACTCTGCTCGACTTCCATGGCATGCGGGTATGCGTTTGCACGCTGCGAACCACTGCCGGTCGGCGCCGCTGCGGGTGTTCATCACGCTCATCACGACTCTATTCGACTCTACCTACGCGAGTACCCGTCCACGACCGTCGAAAGCTGGCCATTGACTGTCCTCCTTCGAATGAGTTTTCTGCAGCTTCACGCATCCGGTGATGCCAGCAAAGATGGGTGAACCTTGTCTGGCTGTTCGGAGAAGCGCGACTTCATCGCCCATCGCCATCCCATCGGCAAGCACGACTTCATGTCCGCTCCCGACTGCATCGAGATTGGGAAGCATGCTCATAGCTGGCTGGTGAAGCAGGAGAAAGCTGTCATCGCCGTCCGATCGCACGACTTCATTGTCGTCTACGGCCCAAGTCGACCTTGCGAAGCATGCTTTGGAAGCATACCTCCACCTGCTTGTAGAGCAAGGCCATCATATAAGAGAGCCGTGAGCGACGCCCTCTAGCAACCCTCAGTCACCACAGCCTTCCAATTGCTCCAGACTTTCCATCGCTACAGACTTCCAATCGCCATACGCTTCCAATCATCTCAGACTTTCAACTACTACACACCTTCAATCACCACAGCCCTCCAACATGACCATCAACTTCCTACCAATCTTCGACTCCTGGTGCGGCGAAAATGGTGCTCGCTGGTACCCATGCTTCATGATCACCAAGAGTCGTGGCACCCCAGCAACAAACGATGGCCACGTCCAGACCGGAAAGACATGCAAGCACGATGATTTCAAGAACCCGCCTCCCAAGGACGAGCGGATGAGACGCAACGCCGCAGTGTCAGATGCTTACGAGGCGCGCGATTTTCAACGTCTGCGCCATGCTATCAGACATCTTCTGGAACTCGTCATGTGTCCATCCCACAAGAAAGACTTGGAATCCGGCAAGAGCAAGGATGAGGTCCGAGAGTGGGTTGACAAATTGGCGGAGATGGTGTTGTGGAGGAAGCCAGATGATGCAGTGCCGAAGTTTGACGAATCGATTTTTGGGCCTGGGAGGAGAGTGTCGAGGAAGAGAAAGCTGTCTTCAGATCCTTCAGGCTCTCGAGATGGACCACAGTGGAAGATTATGCGCTCTGATGCAAAGGCATCCCCGAATGCGGACGCTGGCCCCGACTTCAGCATTTCCAACACCAACTCTGCGAACGGCCTTTCCTCTTCGAACTCCGCGGCGTCGAACTTGGATGCTCTGTTCCCGGATCTCTTCGATACCGCCAACCTTTCCAACCAGTCTTCGAGTGCGTCTTCTTTCAGTTCAGGCTCTCTAGACCCGGCTCTCCTCGTCAACGACAACTCGTCTACCCGGTCCACGAGTGCGTCCTCTTTCAGTTCGAGCTCTCTCGACCCCGCTTTGCGCGGCCCCGTCAACTCTGAGAATCAGCCGTATTTCACCCAGAACCTGCGTTCCAAGTCAGCCGAGCCAGCGCCGCCCAACTCACCGGAAGCATCATTCACCAACTCCGGCTCGCTGGAACCAGCTGTCCACGACCACGCCAACCATTTGTCGAACTCTGCATCACCATCTCACGCAGACGTCTCACAGCAAGCCAAATCCACCGGCCAGGCCTCCTCCAGCTCGGACAACTTTAACGCTTTCGACCCGGTCACCTCCGATCCTTCTGTACACGCTGGCGTTATCGACAACCTGCCTGTCTGTTCATTCTGCGGTCGGGACGCGTTCCAGCACCATAAGCCGCTCTGCGACTTCTTTCAATCTCAGAGAACCTGGGTCCCTCTCAGCGGCTACTGCTCGTCTGGCAGATGTGCTGGAGGACCACGATCTTTCTGCAATGAAGATACGTGCTGGGACTTGTGGTGTGAGAACGCTACGCATCTTCGATGGTGTGGCACAATGCACGCTTACACTTGCTTCCGGAACCCAAACATGATCCCAGCAGACGACAGCACCAACTCCACGAGTAGCGCCGACGAGAGTCTGGCGCAGCCAAGTGATAGTGACAGCCACACAACTGCCACCGCTCCCGAAACCGAGGTTCCAGCCGCGAAAGGCGACAGCAACAGTGTCTGTCATGGTGACAGCGATGTGGCACAGATTGCGGATGAGTTGTGGGACGAGTGGGTGGAGATTGGAGGACCTGAAATCATGAACGAAGTCACTGCTGGCCCCAACGCTGCCGCTCCCGAGACCGAGGCTCCAATGGCGAAAGACAACAGCAACAGCGGCTGGCTTGGTGATAGTGGTGTGGCCTAGACTGAGGAGGAGATGTGGGAGGAGTGGGTGCAGATTGGCGGACTGGAGCTTGTGACGGAAATGGAGTGAGATGTATAAGAAGGGGTGGGAGGAGTGGGTGCAGAATGGAGGAGTGGAGCTTGTCAAGCAGATGGTGTGAGATGTATGGGAAGAGGTAGGAGGAGTGGGTACAGAATGGAGCAGTGGAGCTTGTCAAGCAAATGGAATGAGATGTTCGAGAAGACATAGGAGGCGTAGATTCAGAATGGAGGACTTTATCTGATAACGGAGATCGAGCAAGATGGGTGGGAAGGAGTTTGAGACAGAATCAAAGCCAGGAGAGGGCAGAGCGCCATGTGAGAAGTGAAAAGCAAAACTGCCATCAGCGCCCACACATACCCCCCAAAAGACAGACTATAGCATTGCGAAATGATTATACATCCATTCAACTCCCCTTTTCCTTAGGAAGTATGCTTCCTTCGCTATTGGAGATATAGTCCTCTACGGGCATGACAAAAAGAAAAGCCTTTATTACAGACCTAGTCTCACGAGCGGGTGACATCTGCCTTAGCATAGAACACCTCACATCTCGATACATCAACTGCAGGATGGAGCGTACAAGTCAACCGGCGTCTACTTTAAAATTACGCGAGCACGAACACCTTTTCGAAGATCAAATCCTTCGGCTTAGACCTAGTCTCGCGAGCTAGTTTACGCAAGTCACATCTGCCCGAGTATAAAACATATTACATATCGGCTGCCTCTAAATGTAGTATAGAGAGTGCAAGTTAAGAAGGCATATACGCAAGCGCGAGCATATTCTTAATATCTTTCGAAGAGGACGCTCTAAGAAAGTATAAAGATTTCGCTCGGAACGCCTCGATCGGAAATTATATTCTTATAAAGTATAGCTCCTATATCCTCCTCCTCGATATTCCTCCCGGCTACGACTCTTTCTCTTTCTCTTCGGTAAATTACAGGTTAGATTAATTACCTAATTTGTTATTTACGAAGGGGGGAGAGCTTAGAGGAGTATATAGGGAAATAAGGAAGAGGAGGAGGAGGGGATTTAGATCTAGATCTCTATTTCCCGTTTCTCCCGTAGGCCTATCCTCGGGTTACTATCTTAGCTACGACTCTTTCTCTTTCGCTTCGGTAAATTGCAAATTAGATTAATTACCTAATTTATTATTTACGAAGGGAGGAGGGGAGTATAAAGGGGAATAGGGAACGAGGACTAAAAAAGAGTAGAGGATTTAGATCTAGACCTCTATTTCCCGTTTATCCCGTAGGCCTATCCTCGGTTTACCGTCTTAGCTACGACTCTTTCTCTTTCGCTTCGGTAAATTATAGATTAGATTAATTACCTAATTTATTATTTACGAAGGGGGGAGAGCTTAGAGGAGTATAAAGGGGAACGAGAAACAAGAAATAAGGAACGAGAACTAAGAGAAAGTAGGGGATTTAGATCTAGATCTCTATTTCCCGATTCTCCCGTAGGCCTATTCTCGGGTTACTATCTTAGCTACGACTCTTTCTCTTTCGCTTCGGTAAATTATAGATTAGATTAATTACCTAGTTTATTATTTACGAAGGGGGGAGAGCTTAGAGGAGTATAAAGGGGAACGAGAAACGAGAAATAAGGAACGAGAACTAAGAGAAAGTAGGGGATTTAGATCTAGATCTCTATTTCCCGTTTCTCCCGTAGGCCTATCCTCAGGTTACTATCTTAGCTACGACTCTTTCTCTTTCGCTTCGGTAAATTATAGATTAGATTAATTACCTAATTTATTATTTACGAAGGGGGGAGAGCTTAGAGGAGTATAAAGGGGAATAAAGAGAAGGAGGAGAAGATAGATCTCTTTTTACCGTTTATCCCGCGGGCCTATTCTCGGTTCGCCGTCTTCGCTACGACTCTTTAGTAAGTTGCTTACTAGATTAATTACCTAGTTTGCTACTTACGGAGAGGAGTAGAGACTATAGGTACCTAGACGACTAGGAGGACTAGAAAGGAGATATTAAGGAAAGAAAGAGATTTAATACTCCGCTAGGCTAGGTACTTTATAGATCTAGTAGACTTCGTATATCTAACTAAGATATAGCGTAAATTCTAGTAATCGCCGAAATTCTAGTAGCTACTCTCGCTATAGAGGAACCTATAGGTTTCCGCTACTAGACTATTTTTTTTAATATCGAGAAAAGCGTACGTTCTAATTAGGAGTAGACTTATCGATAAGTATAGTAATATTGTATATAATTTAGTACTTAAGTCTTTCTACTTCTTAATTCTCTTAGATCTTCTTAACTAGCGGTATATCCTAGAATCCTACCTTCGTTAATCGCTAAAGGATAAGATATTCGAGATAGTGCTCGATTATAAAGCTAGGCGATAGTAAGTAGTAAAGTTAAGCGATACCTATACGACGGGGTAATATAGTTATAGCTATTAATACGTCTTAATATACTAGGGTAGGTTCTATATAGCCTCTATTAAGTCTATTTAAGGCTAGATAGTATAGAAGGTACTAGGACTAGGGATTCTATTACGCAATTCGGTAATATAAATTCGGTATTTTTAGTACGTAGGTTATCGTATAAGGTCTAGCTAGAGTTAGTTTATACTTATAACAATATACTCTAATAATTCGAATTTGCTATTATTAGTAAGTAGGTTATCGCGGGATAGGGTTAGCTAGAGCTAGCTTATACTTATAAAAAATATACTCTAGGTTTATAGTTATAAAGTCTTACTTTATCCTAGTAGTATCGAAATAAGAGACAATTTCTAGAAAGAAGTCGTCGAGATACTATATCTATATATCGAGGCGGTAGGCTAGACTTAATATAGTTATCTCCCGCGCTAGGAGTTAGGGAGAGAGCTACTCTATCTTATCTAAGGTCGGGATAGGCAACGAGATTAGTAAGGTAACTAATTTATAAATATACTACTAGTATCTCTAGGAGTCGCTAGCCTTCTCTCTAAGATATTTAGTAGTAGAATCTACGACCCGTCTCTTAATTAGCTTAATTACTAAGATCTAGTTCCTAGAGAGCCTACGTTCCTTATAGTAGACGGCCTACTACGCTAGATAACCCTAGAGTATCGGCTACTCGCGATAAACTCCTTAAGGTAGTTAGGTTTTAAGGCGGTAACTTTTGCTTCTTATTAATAGATACTTCCTCCTACTCCTTACGTTAATTCGATCCTACGAATAAGTCTATATTATATAAATATATATAGGTAGTAAGTAGTAGGTATCTTTCGTACCTTACTAGTATCGGCTTTTATCTTAGCTATAGTCTTTATTATAGATAAGCGGTAAACCGATAGAATTACTTACTCTTTAAATAAAGGACTTACTAGCTACTTATATACCCTAGCGCGATTCAGTTAAACGATAGCAGCGAACAATTAGAGACGAAGGGAAGACAGTTAAGAGGGAAGGGAGGACGAATAGAAAGCACTATATACTAGGGCAGAGGAGGTGCTAAAGGCAGAAGATAGACGAACCCCTAAGAGGGTATATAGGATAATAATTTTAGAACTCCTTAGAGGACTGAAAGCAATCTACAACTAGGCAAGCCACGTAATTACAAAGGTAGCTAATACAGTCGTAGCAAAGATTACGAAGAAACAATAGGAGACAAGCCTAAACTACCGCACCTAGGTAGCAGTAGCTAGTTAGGAGGCGCTAAAGCCCCCGAGGGTAGTAGTTCGAGTCTACGTTACGGACCTATAGGAGCAAAAGGAAATCTAAGGACTTATAGGGAAAGAGATTATAGAAAGAATTGCAGTTAAAGAGGTAATTAGGGCTAGGAACGAAGGTAAAGGGGTAATCAAGCTATTTATAGTATAAGAGTAAGACAAAAAGAAGCTAGAAACACAAAAAGAATAGACAACTAAGATAGGGAAAACGGCAAAGGTCTCCTAACAGCAATTTATAATTATAGCCTATAGTATAATAAGAAGCTTTAAGGAAGAATAGGATATTAAGAGCCTATAGAGATAAAACCAAGCTATATACCTAGGCCTAAAGATTACAAAAGTAGTATAGATCAAAAGGAAAATCGAAGAGACTAAGAAGCAGTCTTCTCTAATTATCTAGGTAGGGAGTGCAGAGCAGGCTAATATAGTGCTAGACTAGGGGTTGTTCTAAGACTTTAAAAGATTGGAAACAGAGATATATAGAAGCAACTCTAGGATAATATAGTGCTTTAAATATCAACACTATAGACACTTAGTAGCTAAATGTATAAAGACAACTAATACCTGCTCCTATTATATAGGGGAGTACTAGGTTAAAGAATGCAAAGTATACAAGGGAGAAGCAAGATATATATACTATACTAAAAGACACCCCTCTTAGGCGAAGGAATGCCTAGTAAGAATACAGGTAGCTAGGAAAGCGAAGGAAGCTAGAATTAATACACTAAAAAGATATACAACAAGCTAGGGCAGCTAGGTATAGAAGCAACCTAGCTAAGTGCTATAAAAGAGGTCTAGGCAAGATAATAGGTTCACATTTAGGGCCTCACTAGTATAAGAGAGTCACTAGCAACTAGGGAGACTAAGATACCTTAATATTACAGGAAAGGAAGCAGGGTAGATAAAGCTTAGCTAAATGTTAGTCTAAAGTAAGGGAAGACTAAAGGAAAACTTATAGGGAAATGATATAGATAAAACCTAATAAACATTGCAACATTACTAAACATTATATAGTACAATATCAACAAGAGTAAAGATAAGGTATAGAGGAGCTTCCTTTAAGCACTAAACCTAAAAGAACATTATATTATTGCAATCTAAGAGCCCTAGCTCAACTTATATATAAAGAGACTAGCAACAGTTAAAGACCCAAAATACTACCTAATTATCTACAACTAGGGAGCCCTAAGGATATATATCTATATTAGTAAGGAGATAGATACAGAAACCTAGCAGGCTATACTATAGGAGGATAGGGACCTAACATTAGTTCAAGTAGAGATATCCTAAGGTATACTCTAAGTCTACTATATATACAACCTACTACTAGACTTAAGAAGCAGTACCTAACTAAAAACCCTAGAAAGACTACCTAGAGTTATCTAGGGGAACACCTACCAAATCCTACTTAGAGATTTCAACCTCTACTACCCCCTCTAGGGCTCAGACTTTACCCTAGCTTACTACTTCCTAGTAGGAAGACTAATTGATATATTAGAGAGGGAAGGAATAGAAATTGTTACCCTAAAGGGACTAATTACTTAGGAGGCAAGAGGAAGCAGTAGCACACTAGACCTATGCTTTGTATTACATTAGATTAGGAATAGGATTATAAGATACAGGGTTAACTAGGAACTAGAAGAATTATTAGACTACTTCCCGGTATAGATTGAGCTGAATGTCTAAGCTAATTAGGAAAGGGAACTAGAAGAGAAGCTTAACTAGAAAGGTACTTAATAGGGCAGGATTAGGGAGGAACTAGAAAGGGACCTAAAACTAGAGGAACTCTTAACAAAGCACCTACTAAGGCTAGAGGATATTGATAAGGCAGTAGAAGAACTAATAGGAATCCTAAAATAGGTAGCTAGAAAGCATACCCTAGTAAAGAAACATTCACTATACTAGCAACTATACTAGACTAGTAAGTATACAAGGAAGGTTAAAGTAGTAAGGAAGGCAAGGAGACAGTAGATATAAATTTATACCTAGGAAGCATAGGACAACTACAATAAAGCCTACTAGGAAAAGAAGATCTAGATTAAGAAAGATAAGATACAAGAATAGAGATCTACAATAGGAATGATTATAAAGAAACTAGAGGAGATATAGAGGATAGCTAAATAGGCAAAGAGACCTAAATAGGATAAGGACATACTACTACAATTCCCGGACATTATAGACTAATAAGGACAAATATAGACTATAATAGAAGGGAAAGCAAGAGCCCTAGGCTACTACTTCTTCTATAGAGAAGTATAAGCAGACCTATTAGACATAAAGGAGAAAGAATAAGAGACTCTACTACTAGGCACACTAAGAGACACCTAGGTCAAACCCGAAACTATTAAAAGGATCCTAAAGAAAATTCTAGGCAACAAGGCACTAGGAGAAGACAAGATCTATAACAAACTCCTAAAAGCATATAGGAAGGGGCTAGCCCTAGTACTAGCTAATATCTTTTTATAAAGCCTAGTACTAGGACACTACCTAAGACTATTTAGGAAGTCCCTAACAGTAGTACTAAGGAAGCCCTAGAAGGAAGACTATACACAGCTTAAGGCCTATAGACTAATAGCCCTACTTAATATAATAGGCAAGGTACTAGAAAAAATTGTCGCCGAAAGGCTAACAACCTTTACCGAGGAAAGGAACATCCTTCCTAAAGGCTAGATAGGAGGAAGAAAGAAGAGGTTAACACTAATAGCTATAGAACTAATTACAGAACAGATCAAGCATATCTAGTACTATAGTTAAAACTAGGTAGTAACCCTCCTCTCCCTTAATATCTTAGGAGCCTTTAATAATGTCTCCTATAAAAGGCTCCTATATATACTTAAACAGAAAGCTATACCAAACTAGATAGTCCAATTTATCTAGTCCTTCCTATAGGAAAGATTAATATAGCTTATTCTAGGCAAATTCAAATTAGACCTAATACTAACTAAGAAGGGAATCCCCTAAGGATTAATACTCTCCCTAATCCTCTTCCTTATCTTTATAGTAGACCTACTCCCACTCCTAGAATCAAAAAACACATTAGTATTAGGGTTTGTAGATAATACAAACATCCTAGCCTAGTCTAAGATAATAGAAACCAACTATAGGATCCTAGAAGAGAAGCACTAAGAGTATAAAAAATAGGCAAGGAGGTATAGAGCAAAATTCGCCCTAGAAAAGTACTAGCTTATCTACTTTAGCAAGGCCAAATCAACCTACAATATAAAGCAATCAATTACTATCTAAGGCTTTAAAACCCAACCATTAGTAGAGCTTAGGGTACTAGGGATCTAGCTAGATCTAAAACTAAATTAGGGACTACAAGTAAAGAAGGCAAAGCAGAGGGCAGATGCTAATATACAATCCATTAATAGGCTTATAGCCTCTATATAGGGGGCTATATTCGAGAAAGCTAAAATTATATACAAAGCAATTATTAAGCTAGCAATACTATATAGAGTATAGATATAGACAGCCTAGGAGAAAACACTAAAGAGGATTAAGCAACTAGTTAGTAGGTCCTAAACCTAAAGCCTAAAGAAAATCCTAGGAGTATATAAAACTATACTAATAAGGGTAGTAGAAATGGAATTAGGGATCCTACTAGTTAAACAATACTTCAAGGGACTAAGACACTAATATATAGCAAAGATAATAGAATACCTAGCCTAACAGACTATTTAAAAGGCACTAGACAAGATAAAAGCCTAATACATTAGGACTAGGAGGCGAGACAGACTATAAATAACTCCCTAGAAAGTCAAAGACCTAGAGCAATATAGAGTCTTAATAAGAGAAATGCTAGAGAAAGAGCTTTAGGGACTAAATATAAGGCCGAAGGAAGACAAGCTAAAGGGAGGGAAACAAAGCCTAGCAGAATCAATTGCTAGACACCTATAGGAGCAGGAATAGAACAAAATATAAGTTAGACTAGGAACCCTAAAGGCACTAATCAAATTTAGTTAATACAACTACTAGCTCTATAAGGACCTAAACAGGGCCGAGGCAAGCCTAGCTATCTAAATCAGATCTAAACATATTAGACTTAGATCTTACCTGTTTAGAAGAAACGTCCTAGGAATTGAAAGCAGAGCTTACTAATATAGCTACCAATCTTAGAACCCTAAGTATATACTACTAGTCTGCCCTTAATAGTTAGAAGGTAGAAGTGATTGGAGACTAAAAGCAATAGAAAAGGAATACGACAAGCTAATCTAGAGCAAAGAAGACCTAAAGAGGATAGTAAAGTAGATTATTAAATAGGGATTTGTACAACAATTCGCACTAATAAGGGAAACTAAGGAGTAGATAAGAAGGAGGGAAGAAGAGGGGGAAAGAAGGGCAAGGCAGTAGGCAAGGTAGTTAGAGGGTAACAACTATAATACTAGTGTACCCTAGAGGAAGGAAAACAGGGAAACGAGGAAGATCAATACTTATAAATAGGATAGGAGGGAGGTTTTTACTAACCAAGTTGGTTTCCTACCTAAAACAATATATAGAAACAGACCTACATAGGCCGAAAGGCACTACAATAGGCAAATGAAATATCTATCTATCTATCTATATACCCTAGCGCTAAGAATTATAAGCTATAAGTAAATAATCTTTTAACTTCCTTCCCCTTCTCTTACTTATAAATCTCTAACTAGCCTCGTATATTCTTAAGTAATCTAATACTCCCTCTACTTAGCTATCTAGTCGTATACTAAATAGCTAAGTCCTAATCCTTCTTAATCGTTTTTTGTCCCTAGGCCTCTTTTTACGTTTTCTTCGAACTTCCCCTTCGTTAGGGGTTTAGTAAGGAAGTGCGCGAGCTAGTCCTTTATTAGAATATACTTTATATCGACTAGCTTATCCTCGACTAGTTCCCGTACGTAGTATACCGCTACGTCGATATATTTCGTTTTAGAATAAAATTCCGGATTTCGTACTAAAGCGATAGCCGCCTTATTATTACCGTAGATAGTCGTAGGTTCTTTATAGTCGTCTTCTATAAGGTATCCGACTTACTCGAGGAAATGCCGGATCTAAATAGCTTCTTTTATAGCGTAGGATAGTGCTAAGTATTCGGCTTCCGTAGTACTAGTCGTTACGGACCTTTATAGTTTAGTAGACTAAGATATAGGTCCTCTAGCTAATAGAGATATCTATCCTATTGTTAACTTCCTAGTTAAGTCCGCTACGTAGTCCGAATTAGTATAGATAACCGGTAGACGAGTAACTAAAGTACTTATATCGTTTTCGTTCTTTAGGATAGGACTATACTTTATATAGTAGTCCCGAGTGTTCCCTAGGTATCTAAGGCCGTAGATACCTCCGTCGTAATATCTCCTAGCCGGACTTACCGAGGATTGGCTTAGTCGTTACGTTAGAAAAGATATATCCGGCCTAGTAGCTCGTACGGTCTAATTTAGTTTCCCGATAAGTCGTTAGTATTTTCGGACATCTACTACCTCGTCGTCCTTCGTAATATTAGTAGATTTATATATCCGTTTATCGGAGCAGATACTCGGAACGTTTCGTCTAGATCTAGGCCTTCTTCCCTAAGTGTATTTTCGATATAGTGCTTTTAGTCTAGTAGTATAGACCCGTCGGCTTATCTCTTAATTCGTACGCCTAGTATAAACTTAGCGGGCCCTAGATCTTTTTTTTTTTCGAACCTCTTCGTAAGCCCGTCTTTTAGCGGTTTAATCTCCCCTTCTATCTTCGCTAGTATAATAAGATCGTCGACGTATAGCGCGACTATTATCGTATAGTAGCTATTAACGAAGACCGATTAATCCGCGGATATAGCGTAGAGGTCGTATTCTTCGATAAAAGCCGTAATAGTCTTATTCTAAACTCGTCCGGATTATTTTAATCCCGGTACTCCTTTTAGGAGCTTAAGTACCTTATTAGTTTCGAGAATATCTAGGCCTTCCGGGATAGCTAGGTAGACTTTATCTATTAGTTCTCCTAGTAGGTAGGCACTTACTACGTCTATATAGAATATAGCAAGTCTTTTAATAGCGGCGATAGCTAGGAGAAGGCGTAGGCTTTTAAGACGTATTACCGGAGAGAACGTGTTAAAGTTATTGATTCCGTAGCGTTATATAAAGCCCTTTCCTACTAATCTCGCCTTAAATTTGTCGATTTATCCGTTCGGTAGTATTTTTACTTTAAAAACCTATTTCGGAGTTATAGTGTTTTTTTGCCCTTTTCCGTCCTTTAGCTTAGAATAGTCGACAATCTCGTAGGTATTATTAGCCGTTAAGGACTCGATATATTCTTTAATAGCGTCTTACTATTATCGGGAGTAAGGGCCGCTAATAGCTTCTATATAGGTCTCGGGGATAGGTATTTCGAAAGCCTTTCGATAGTCGACCTTTAGAGCCGCTAGCCCTATCTCGTCCCTTAGTCTCTTCGGTACTTTAGGGACCCTTATAGACCTTCGTAGTTCTCCTTCGTTTATATTCGAATCTATAGGAGACGGTTTTCGAGTTATTCTTTTATCGCTGTTATTTAAACCGTCGTCTTCGTCTTACGGTTTTAGAGTATTATCTTCGGCTTCGGAGTCTCCCTCTACTTCTCGAGACTCTCCTTTATTTAGGAGATCGATATCTCCGTTATCGTTATCCCTAATATGCCGTAGGGTAGGTAGCTCTTCTCCGGATAGTAGGCTACTTCTCTTAGTTAATTTGTTGAATTTAACGCTAGTATAGATTCCGATAGCGTTCGTCTTAGGATTATAGATCCTTATTATTTCGTAGACTTCGTATATCCGACGAAGATTCCCGGAAATACCGTCTTTTCTAGCTTATCTTTCCTTTTCTCTTTAGTAATAAGCGGATAGGCTAGATAACCGAATAATCGTAAGTATTCCCCGCTAGGCTTTCTTCTAGTATAGAGCTCCTCGGGAGTTATATCTCTTCCTTTAATAGGTACCCTATTATATAAATAGGTAACCGTATAGGCCGCTTCGCCCTAAAATCGTTTAGGTAATTAGGACCCTTCTAAAGCTAACCGTGCCTTAGTTATAATAGTACGGTTTTGTCTCTTTACTACCCCGTTTTATTCCGGTATATAGGGCGTAGTTGTTTCGATTCGTAGTCCTAGATAGGCCTTAAGAGCTTTAATAAGCTCCGGAGCGTTATCGATTCTTACGGCCTTTAGTTCCCTTACGGTTTCGAGTTCGGCCTCGTTTTTCTAAGTCTTAAATGCTTCGTATACGTCGCTTCTATAGCGAGTAAGACGGATATCTAACCGTCTCGTAGCGTCGTCCGTAATCGTTAGTATATACCTATTTCCTTCTAGGGTACTATACTTATATAGATCCTAAAAATCGATATATACCCTATCTAGGTAATAATCTGCCCTTTCGAGTTCTTCTCGACTTTATTATCTATCGGACTTCGTAGTAATATAAGTCTCGTAAGACTTATTTAACGTCGAAAGCTCCGGGACTCCTAGTAGTACTTTATATACGTTTCGTTGTTTTTCGTCTCCTAGATATCCTAGGCGTTAGTACTAAAGTAGCGTAGTACCTCTAGTCGTAGTAGTAGCTACTCTTAAAGTCCCGATAAATCCTAATTCCTTTAGAATATAGGACCTTCCGACGCGTACTCCTTTTACTAGCTCTTCGTTTCCTCTTCGAAATATAGCCTCTTCTTTTATAAATAGAGTCGTAATATCTCGTTCCGAGAGTTGGCTTATCGAAAGTAGGTTATAACCGATCTCGGATACGTATATAACGTCTAGAATCGTAGTCGGAATTCCCTTAAACCGGACGAGGATTATACCGGACCCTGTAACCTTTATTGTTTTACTGTTCGCTAGAGTAACTTTTCCGGTTATTTCCTTATAGTCTCTAAAGATCTAGTATATACGGAGTCTAGGATCTAATCCCCTTTATTAGATAGTCGAGTCGTAGAATCGATAGCCGTCTATACCGCGATCTTTAATTCCTCCTTATTATTCTCTTAGACTTTTCCGTTCTTTTAGTCCTACTTATACTTCCTATAGTCCCGTCTAAGGTACCTAATCTTTTAGTAATAGTAATACGTCTTTCCTTTAGCTTTATTAGGCGTATTAGGCGTATTAGGCGTATTTCCCTTCTTTCCGTTACCGGCCTTATCTTTCGCCGCTTCCTTAGTATATCGGGCTACTACTTTATCGCTTTTAGAAGTAGTAATAGTATATTTAACGTTCCGTAGTCGTTAAACTAGTTCCTTATAGGAAAGAGTAGATAAACCGGCCGCATTTAAAGCGAATACGATAGACGAATACTCTTCTCCTAAGGACGAGATAAGGACTACCTTCTTAGAAGCCTCTAAGGGAACTTCGTCTTTATCCGCGGCCTTAATCTCGGATTAAATTTGCCTAGGAGCTAAAGCCGTAGTATCGATATTATTAAGAGCTTTAAAGGAATAGAAACGGGAGAGTAGCGTCGAACCCCGTTCCTTAGTCGATACCTCGCCTACTTCCTTTATCTTTTTAATTACCCCCTTAGTCGTATATAGTCCTAGGAGGTATATACGCTTGTCCTCGGCCGTAAACTTAATAAACGTAACCGCTTTTACGTCTTCTTCTTTAGCTTCTCTTACCTTAACCTAATCTTAGCTTATAGATTCCGGTATACCGCTCCTATACTTCTAAAGGCCTTATCTAGATAGATAGTCTTAAATTAGATCGATCTAGATAGTATAGTTCTCGGTAGTAAGCTACGGAATTCCCTTTACCGCGCGGATAGTCGTTTTAGTAGTAGATATCTCTATCGTTAGATTTGTCGACTCGTAGTAGTTATATCGTTAATGTTTTTAAATCGTTTTATTCGTATTAATCGGTCCTTTTCGCCTCTAGACCGGCGCCTATAGCGGAGCAATAACCGTTATCTTATTATTATTCGAAGTTAGTCGCTTTCTTCGATTTATAGA